CTGAAAAGAAGTCGGAGAACACCGCCGGCGGCGGCACCACCGCCGCCGCCGCGATTACTGATCATGATGATGGCACTGATGATTAGGGTGATGCTCTCGGCTGCTTCAGCTGATGTTGTGCAGTGCGCAGCGTTTTCTCCAGGCTGTTCGCGCGCGCGCGTGGCGACCGCCCGAATGAATGAAACTCCCCAGAAAATGAAGAAAACTGCATCCATCGAACAATTATCTGAGCCACGTTGTCGCTGTCGAGACACAGTAGTCGTCACAGTAGGCAGCAGCGGCACCTTTCGTCAACAGCTCGAGTATCGTCCACAACAGCCGTCGAGAACTGACAGCTCGTGCCAATCGGAAGCATGAACAAAGAATTCGGCATTTGGTAGCGATTTCCCATTTGGGGGACCGCAAAGATCGGCACGAGCGGAAAACCGAAACATACCGAGCAAGCCGGAATGAACGGAAAAATGATAACATGAGTCGGAGAATGCTCCGAAGTTGCGGCTTTGTTTAGAGCAGCTGCGCTCCAGGAGAGATCGGCGAAACGCCATGTGCCATCGGCAGCGACACCTTACCGGAGACCCGCAATCACAGAGAATCGTCCCCAATGTTTTCTTAAGCAATAGAATTTCGTCCCGCGTATATTATATCCCTTGAAGAAGAACTCGGGAGGAAGAATCCCCAAATGTGGGCTGGGCTCCGAGGCTCAATCAGCTCCTGAGCGAATCGAGTCCTGAGTGAGAGCATTGATGGAATTCTTCGATACCTTCGCTTCGAGGCTCCCTCCTGGTATGCCCTCCGCAGTGCCACATGAGAAGCGCAGGATCATCGAGAATACACCGAATCCATCGATCGATTATCCGCAGAATTCTCGCGCGAGTTCTCTATTCTCCTCGGAAAAAAAGACGTTCTTTCCAAAAAACGCGTCTGCCTCCCCTCACTGAGTGCTCTGTCGTCGGGAGATTAGACGCCAATTGCGTGGTTGGTTGTTCAAGCTCGTGCCCGATGATAACCAGCCACGCATCGTGCAGAAGAAGTCCCCAACGAAAACAATCCGACTGACTCGACCGTCTAAGTGGCGCGCAAGTGAGCCATCAGCGATAACTCGATAACTACGGGAGAGAAGAGGGGTTTGAGAGTCGTAAACAAGAGCTCATCAATTTTGAGAGGGTTGGTAGGTGCTCGCCATTACCATCACTTCCTTCCTTCGTTCGTTCGCCGGCACGCTGACTTAATTTTGGAATGCCTCGAGTACTCGTGGAAATTCGACGCGGAACGCGATTCGCTCCGTTTCGGAGAGCTGTAATAGGATCGGAAACAATGGGAGAGAAGTTGAAATATACCGACTTAGTCTATTGTATATCAGCCTCTGACTTCCGAAAGAATTCATCACGAATCACGATGAACTGACCATCTCGGGCGCTCTCATCAGGGAAGTCTTTCTCGGAGCTACGACTGCTTGCCCTCGGAATTCCATCGGATTCGAAAAATCCGAACCTCAACCCCGAGCCTCTCAGAGCATGAACGGAGGTCCTTCAGGGTAGGGTAGAAACTCGTCTTATCGGAATTAAATAATACGTCCGCTCAAAACTGTCTCCACAGACATCCCACGCTGTTCTCCTGCGCTTGAAATGGCCTCTCGAGGATATTCGGGGGTATTTTCTGTTCGCAGAGCTGTGCTCAAACTTCTCGGTCGTCATCTGTCCCCAACATGATGCGCATTGTATACGTCGCACACGTAAGAGTGTGCGTGGGTCTGACGCATCATCATGGCCAGCTCCGCGGAAAACGGCGAATCGCCGACGGAGATGTTGTTCATGACTCGGAAGGGTACGATGATCCCAAACATTTTCCCCGATCCCCGATAAGTGCGGGAATCGCATATTGGAGCGAGTTAAGCTTTATGATATGGATGGGTATATGGTTCCCGAGCAGAAAACATCAGAGGAGAATTCAATTCTCAAGCGATACTCGTATATTTCGATGCGGTAGAAGGGAATCTCGATCCCTGAGACTCGGGCTCAGATGATACTGGTCGGCCTTCTCTTTTCCATGGGGCATTGGAACGCTCTGGGATGATTTATTTCGACTTCGTACCGGATGGACCCGCCGCCTACCGGATAAGTGTCGCGCGAGCTGCGACAGAGACACTCTTTTGACGAGAACAAGCACATTGAGAGACCGGCCGACGGTCTCAGGTTACAGGGAAACTGTCGAAGCCTTGGACAACAAACTGGAAAACTGTTTCTTGCCTCGCCAACCGGCTTTCGGAATCAACCCGATCTAGGTAATCATCCGCGGCAGGGTGAGACCGATCGATTTGGACTTTCTTCTCGTGCGGGATTCCGTGCGATATTGGAACTCATCCACGAGGCCGCAGTGGCGAAGTGGCCGAATCCGGATCCATGCGAGTGATCTCGCTAGACGCTGCTGTGATAATTCAGGCTGCTCTGGAATGGACCAGATTCGACCGCGAATTCCACATCGTGGTTCCTCTAGCTCGTTGACCTCGTTCAAGCTGTGCACCATACGGAGATCATGGACCGAAATCTGAGAAATGGCTGCAGCGGCATGGTTATGAATTTCCTCGCGCATCGCCTTCTTGCTCCGTCAGGGCTGATCAGTTGATGTCAGAAACTCCCAAAACCCATTTGAGGCCTACACCGGCCTTACTCGAGGGAGATAAGGTTTTTCTCTCATATTTCGACTTATTCTCTGACTCACGCCTTGTCACTGCTTGAGTGTTGCTGGTACGATTCCGTGCCCAAGTGGAGCGAGTCTTGTTTTTTACGCTGCAGGATCAATTTGATCGTACTCTTTCGGACACAGGCGGTAGGAGGGCGAAGCAGGGCAAATGTTGAGAGTCGACGAGCTTGATCCCGTTCGTGCCGGAGAAAAATTGAATCACGCCTATCAGCGGCTATAACACTGACAACTTCTATCGAAGACTCGACTTGTTTTTGTCAACTCTTGACCTTCCTTGTCAATCTTGGTCGGAGTCTAGAGTCTCTAAATACCGGATGAAGGAGGAGAAGAAAAACTGTCCATTTCATCGTCCTCTGTGTTCGCCACACTCCCTCCCGATCGCTCGGAGGAATCCGCGCGGGAAGTTGATCCCGCTGCGTGGAGAAGATCCCCGTCAATCGTTCAAGTTTTCTTCATCTACTTCGAGGCGGAGAGGAAAATCTTGAACAAACGTTTCGAATGGAAATACGGAACGCGGATGAGGCGGGGACATGTTGTTTACTCGGTGGTCGCTGTTGATCTCTTCATAGTCGGGAAACGCCACATACTGCTAGTGACGTCAATGCCGCGGCGGCCGGTGCCGCTCAAATTCGGGAAAACCATCCTCGCTCTTCACCGATGGAGGCTACCCAACAGCTCGTTAGGCTAGCCGTAACTTGATTAATCAAATAGGTTTAATCTCATCCGATCCTTTAACCTTTCTTGGCTCAATCAAGAGCAGCTCTCCCCGAGGAGGCTGATGGTCTCTCTCAGATGAGAGCACAAATCAAGTTCACGGGGACCTTGCCGGCAGACGACTCCCTTATCCGCGGCTTGAAGGATATGCTATCAAATTTTCAAACAGCGAGAGAGAGAGCGTGCCATCCGAAGGCGATGTATCTAGTCGTCTTGTGTTACTATTCTTTGATCAAGCATCTTATCAAGTTTGACCCAGTGCCCTTGAACTACGTCGTAAATCATTGAAGTTGAACCAGCCGATGCTGACTCGATTGTCGATTCGCTCCGCAAATCCATGGATAGCGAGGGTTTTCTACAATCTCGATTGCCGATTGACCCCGCGATTGAGACGTTGAACGCGTCGGAAAATTCCATTGCATCCCGATCAGCTGATTGATTGAGTAATGGAGTATTCGCTCGGTTCCTTGTACGATGAGGACTAGATTCGTCGCAAAACTCCCTCAGAAGAGTCGAAGTCGCAAAGGTGTTCAGAAATCGACACCGATCTCCACAATCCACAAAGAATAAAATTCGACCCGGAGTCGTCCCCATTCCTGTGTGAACGGACCAGCCCACGAATGAATGAGACTCGGCGGTCGTACTGGAGGCCGAACCTCTTCTCCGTCGTAGCTAGGAGTCAGAAGGGTAGCAGCAGAAGCAGCTAGGAAAACAGAGGCGCGGCAAAAAGGGAGAGCAGGGCCGCCGCCCTAGTCTCGAGGGGGGCGGAGGGGTGGGGGCAGGGAACAATACTGTGTATCAGAGTGTAGTGGTCACGTGAACGTCTGGCTGGCAGACTGGCTCCGTGGCTGGCTGAAGCGCTATCCCCGTGCTGTAGGCAGGGGGTTTTCGGGGTTGTAACATCCATCTACTGCGCGGCTTGGCTCGCGGGCTCGCTGGCGGGCAGGCGTGCCGGGCGGGAGGGCTGGCTGGCTAGTCCGTAAGCTAATGGGAGGCTTCGGCTGGCTGCAGGATGCTCGCCCGCCCGACTGCTTGGAGGAGTCGCTTAGTGCAAAGATGCGAAAGGGAAAGAGTTTGTTGTGACGGCGAATCGGGTGAGGACGACCGCCGTGCCGTCAGCTCCACCACAAGACCGAGAGACGTCAGCGCGAGCGGACGAGGGAGGACACAGTGGCTTCGTAGCGATGACGTTGGGAGGAAATGAGAGGCGAAGAGAGTGCTCGCTTGACGACGAAACACGGAGATGCTAATGGACCTCAGTTAGAGATCGGGAAGACAATCTTGAACTGGTCAAGGGATGAAGGATGGTCGGGACTCAATGGGAAGAACTTCGTGCCGCACTTCCACAGCATGGAGAGATCATGCGACGGGAAGGGGAAGTTCGGAGAGGACAGAGGAGGACCTCGACGGTTTTGGCCAATTCCTTCTAGAGTGGCTCCCGACTGCTTTTGCGATACCTCCCGAACGAAATTTCTCTGGTGAGGTAGAGCTTCCGAATCGGGGGAGAGTCGAGAGTTTTGGCGCCGACGAATGTGCTGCTAATTTCCCGGAGGAAATCCGAACGCCAAGCGAGCGTTGAGGCGGGCATGTGCGGGAATGAAGCCATCCATGCAGGTGTGGACGGTCTCGAGAATCAAATGCGGAGTCGACGTCACGCGTCGAATAATCGTAAATTGCCATAATTGAAAAGAGGAAAGATATCGGATTGCGTATACCGACCGATTAGACGATGGGGAAGTTCGTCGTCTGTCTGGAAGGGTCAGAGGTACTTTATCGAGAGAAACTCGTACAACGGAAATTCTTTTCCTGAAACAATGTCGGCGAAGGGATCAAGTTCTTTTGGACGATCGAAGCTGAATCGAAGCTATCTTTGAGCGCAGCAGATTCAAGCTTTCTTGAGCGAGAGACAAATGAGTGAATGCTCGATCAGGGAAATGACCGGTGACCCTCGGATCGACTTGTCGATGTTTGTACAGACGCGGGAGCTCCAGTGGTAGCAGTTGCGGAAAAGGCGATTTCAATCCTTTCGACGCCTACATCAGAATGAAGAGAGTTTTCGAACTCTCGCTCCTTCGCTCGCTCGGTATCGCACGTGTTGGAAAGGCGGCTTATGCGACAGGCCAGACAGGGAAGCGAACGAACGAACAGACAGAGCAGATCGAGCCGGCGAACTAGTGTTGATGATGATTGTACTTCGAGTAGCCGGCGCTGTCTCCACGAGGAGATTAGCCACCGCCGCCGGTGCCATCAGCAAGCAAGCGAGCGAACTGCCCTCCCTTCCTAGAGCAGCTGTCCTTGACGTCACACCCGTTCCTCTCCTCCCTCCCTCCTGCAGGGATGGAAGAACGACGAACGAACACACAGAGTTTCTCTAGAGGCCGCCGGCAACAAAAGAACAACCACTTGCGGAGCGGTTTCCGGCGCCGGTCGGCCGCCATTCTACGTCCGGAACGCTGTTCTCCGTGTCCGATCGAGTGTCTGTGCGTCGTGCGCGCTCACACACGACACCGAAGAGGATCGGACCGACGTCCGATACCGCTCGCCGTCGACGACGTTTTCGTTTCAATTTCGTGGCACCGGCACTGGATTAAGGGCAACTAAGCCGAGACCTTCAGATGCGGAACAGTCTCCCACCGTCTACGTGATAAATCTCTGCTCTCCTGAAATACACTTGCCTCGCATTGCTCCGTCCGTTGGCCATCCGGCCTCTGTTTATGGTGCTGCCGGTGGCGACGTCGACGACGACGACGACGGATAGACTATCGAGTCGAAACCATTCCGCCACAAAACCGCTGATAGACTCGGTACACTAAGCCTGAAAGCTCCGCGACAACTCCGTGGTGTCTGCTCATGAAGCATTCTCTGCAACGTTTGAGACGTAGCAGTTGATCGAAAGTTTTTGCGGCTTGTGACCACGCTGTGCCCGGCAGTTCCGACGGGCCGTCAGTGCTGAACGGTCCCGTATACTGCGACCGTCTGCTAGTTTGAAACGGGAGCTATCAACCCCATCGAGGATCTGTACTCGGCTGGTGGTCAACGCAGCGGGTGCTCGATGACACCGCCGGTGTGCGCCAAATCGCGTCGATCCGCTTCCCCGACTCGTTGATACAGACATATCGCTGCTCGGTCGATCTACAGAATTCTGTAATCCGAGACCGAGCATCGAACGCCGACGAAGCTCCGATGATCGGTTCTTACGCTCTCGACCGCCAAAATCGAGAGCAGCCAATTGGAGGCTGAGACATCCATCCGCCCACCCGGCGACGACGACCCACCTCACAACCTGCCCTCCCGCCTGCCTCCACGTTTTGCGGTTGCCATGCTGTCACGCAACGGATTTCGCATGGGAGCTCCAACTAGCCGATGAGGTGGACTCAAGGACTTCAGTGTCTGAAATAAACAACAAAAAATATTCTGGTGCATCGAAAATGTGCACGTCGACGCTTCCAGTGCCCTAGTGGAAAGATTTCGCTGCAGAGCTGCATCATCGAAAACATTCGAAGAAACCTCGTGTCTGTGTTCGGGCGGTGCTGACAAATCCGGTGTTTATCGTCTCTAGCGAGTGCCGTTAAGCTTCAGCCCATCTGGTAGTTGTGCGCTCGTTCGTAGCTCCGGAACAGCTATGAAACCAGATCAGAGGAAAAACAAATTAATGAGACGCGATAGCTTGATCGATACGCTGTCGTCCGCGGTACGTCGGAACTTACTTGACTTCAATGTTCGATTAATTCAATTTTCCGTAGTAATCGTTAAATATTCATTCAGACCCTCCTTTTGAGTATAGACTGAACTGACAGTCCTTTCATTATTATCATGATAAATATTATACCGTCGAGAATCTCCGTTGGATTGGAACGTTCCAACCCAGGTCGACGTCGAGCGATTAGCTCTCCGCTCGATCGATTCTCCGGGCTTAGGCAGAAGTTTTTTCTCGTATCGTCCGTGTTTTGTCGTACCCATCTTATCCGAGAGCTCGACAAGACCGTAGGATCGTCTTTCCGTCGAGTCAGCATCCGTAAAGGATTTTCATTCAGGACGGTGCCTGCGCGTCTCTCGAGAGAATTCGCTTGTTAGCCCACCTGCTCGTCAAGGAATCTTCCGATGCGCTGTATATCGGATTGTGACGATCGCAGTCGAAAGACCTCCCTTGAATATCGCACTCATAGTGAGTATCGAGAATCGAGAGTCCCGCTGATGCCAATCGGCACCATGCCATCCATACATATATTGTCAGTGAGATGATTCAAGTTTTATGCTGCGGGCACTGTGGCAGCCTAGCCATGAGACAAATACCCTGAGGGAGACAGAATTCATCAGTTCGTTTCCGACCGCGATTGATTCGGAATTCTGAAAATTTGGGGGTTTTGCTCTTCAATCGAATACCGCTCGTCGGCGCCCAAAGCAAAGCGGGAGAGGGTCCGCATCCGAGCACCCGAAAGCCTCGGTCACGTGGCACAGTCGAGCGAAATCACGACGGAGGAGATCTGTTACTCTGGCTCACTTGTTTGTTTTTCTCCCGTCGTCTCACAGAAAATGCCCCGCTTATCCGCTGTTGTGGTCTGTCAATCACTAGCGAGCAGTGTTTGTGTATGAATACGAGCGTAAGTGCTCAGCGCTCGAGCGTGTAACGACTTTCGCTGGGGAGCTCGCGAAGTGTATAATTATCGCTCATCGCCGTCATCCGAGCCGAATTTCACCTCGTTCCGTTCTTCGCGTGGCGAGTCTGTTCGTTGGTTGCTCGGTTGGTCAAAAACTTCGTCAGTCGTTCAACATCGTCAACGTGACACTTTTGACGAACCGTCTGAATTTAATGTGGTTTTCGACTATTTGTATAACGGAACCTTCCACTCTCACTGTGGCAACGGGAGGGCACCGAACGATGAGTGGCGCAGTGACAGGAAACTCCGAATTTACACCGCTACGATCATTGCCGTCCTTGAGCTTGTCCCCGCAAGCGTCAGCAACTGACGAGGTGACAACGTCCAGATGATTTATCTCATCGGAGGAGGAATTCTTATCCGTCTCCCGGACGTAAGTGGAGTCGATCTCTCGAGTCGAATGAAGATCATCGCGGAACTTTTCTCCTCCATTCTAAAGCGATCAATCGACGAAACGATCTGCGACAATGTGTCTCGCGAAAGTGGTCCCCCACGACGCGGCGTACAATTCATTGCCTTGATCGGGGATGTTTACCTCTTCAAAATGCTTCCCTTCAAGGGGCTAGACCATAAATGACGAGAATTCCAGTTGGATATCGATGAATTCGTGCGAAATCTACGCTGAGCCGGTAGCGGGTCCTATACTACACCACCCATTCGTAGGTGATCGCTCCCGAGAACCGAGTTGATCTACGATAATCTCTCAGTACGAGCGCATCGGAAGCCCCACGGAGGCTATCCTCTGGCTTAACTTATAGTTTCGATTGCTGTCCGCCTTCCGCGGATCGGAAAAGTCTGGAACAGTTCCACAACGTCGACTTGCTCTACTCGGCGGTCGGAACCTCCAAGTTGTCTTGTTGCCACGCTGTACTTCTCGCCCGATATCGGAAAGCACCTAGCAGAAAGTTTCTGATCTCGTCTAAGTTGGGCTGTAGGGACCACAGGAATACGAAATCCTCGCTAGTTAGATGGAAATGTCTCCTCGAGCACCGATAGTCAAACAGGCAGATAAATAGACGATCTCCAAGGCCGCCGGGTGTACACAAGGTCACCCGGCACGATCAACTTTATAGCCAAGGCTTAATCCGACGAAGTGACATTGTATCTAGTTCACGATGCGGCTCGTGCTCGACCCTCTCCTCTGCTAATGGATATGAATCGATAACGCTGTGCAGAGAAGAACAACTTCTTCGAGTCTCCTCTTGAGCCTCCAAGCGAGGCGCGGATCTTGAAAACATCTGAGGGCTCCTCGACGGAATTGTTTAATTTATCGAAATATTATACTTCGTCTGCCCGGTGTTCTTTGATTTGAGCTCTTCTTACGCCAAGGATAAGGTCCGTGTCCGATAAAGTTCGGTTTTAAGACAGCCGGGGATCTCGATTGCGATCCCGGAGTCGTCTGGAAATGTCGCCTCTCCTGTGATTGACTCCGAGACTATCGAATCCGATGTTCCGATGACAGGCCTGAGATGACATTCGCGAGTGATTTCGCATCTGAAATCGCTATATCGTCGAGGGTCTGAATCGATGCCCTCCTGCGGAGTTGAACTAACCTCGTTCTTTCCTTTGCGTTTCAGATGCGTCGAATATCAATCAGGGGAGGCGGTAATCGGAGTTCTGATTCCGTCGACGGCGAGAACCCGGTGAACGTAGGAGACGTGGTGTTGCAGGGATACCTGAAGAAAATCAAAACCGGGAAGAGGAGATATTTCGTCCTTCATTCAGGAAGCGCCGATGGCACTCAACCTCGTCTGGATTACTTCGAAAACGAGAAAAAATACAAATCCGGCGTAGAACCCAAAAAGTGAGTATCTGGGAATCGGCTTCCCAAACCCTCCTAGCGATTCAGAGACTTCTCCTCCTGTGGGATAGATGTGCTCGACCGCCCGGCTCCCAGGCTCTTGATTCTCTGGACGCTGCTCACTGCCGACTTGGGACGAGCTTGAGAAAGACCTACCGATGATCGGAATCTCGGTTTCCACATTCGAAGACCGGGTACCGATTTTCCAGATCTGATTTCGCTGAGAAAGCTAGGGAGAGACACGGAAAACGTCTCAAGGTCGGAACGAGCGAGAAGAGGGAAAACGCTTCTCAGACATCAGATTTCGCTAAAAACCGATCGTATCGCCCGCCGGAGCAGCTGGTCGTCGCCGGCGTCAGCCTCTGGCCCGTCGAATGAGTGATTGTCGACGAAAGCAGGGGAGTTTTTTTGAGCCGTTTCGGCTGTCGAACGCTTGCCCCTGGAGCTAATATCAGAAGATGCTCTGGCATTGAACTTGGCCTTGTCTTGAACTTGCCATCGTCCTCGCGGTTCTGAACGAATGTCAAGACCGCCATTCGTCCAACAGCCGGGCACCAATCGAGGCACGGATTTGTGGTCTAGCTCCAGGGTTGAAATCAGCCACGCGCGCAGAGTTTTCTCAAGGCATCTCTTGTTCACGTCTGTCGTCGGCCAGTCCGGGACTGGCTCAAGCAGTCGTCCGGCCCTGATCCGGCAGCTGCTCCGCTTGGGTATGTGCGCGAATCTCCGATCACAACGGTGTTTGTCGCTCCGAGGCCCCGAATTCACATTCGATGCGATCGCAGCTCTCGTCAGCTGCATTTCCGTCCAAAATCTCACCCTGCATATTGGCAATAGGCTTGAGGCCGAGAGTCGCTCTCGCAGTACCGGTCTCGATCCTGGATCAGGGGACAGCGTAATCATTGAAAAAAGCCTAAAGGATAAACATCGATTCTGATTTTCATCCATGGACGGGTGAAAAACCCTCCCTCCCGTGAGTTTTCAAGTTTCGGGACCTGACGCGCGCATACGAAAACTCACTCAACGCTCGCTGGCGATCGGAGGTACGGCCGTCAGAGATAACGGTGTAGCTTATCGTGGCTCTGCTTTGAGGTCATTCCCTACGGTGGTGAGGCGCCGCCTCTCCGCGCGTGGCTTGCTGAATATAATAATTTTGCTCAGCCGCGCCAGAGAGCTGCCGATAGAACTTGGCAGCGGCCGTCTATCACTCTTATTCATCGAGAGGAGAAAAATATGAACTGATGAATCGTAGATCTGGCCTGTTACGCCCTCATCCTCAGTCTTCCGGCCTCGGGTCATACCAAAATTGAAGTTATACACCGACTTCGTTTCTTATCGAAGACCCTTGAGTGCCGAAAAAAGAGAGATCATTTAATGAATATGCGAAAAATCAATATATGAATCGGGAACAAATTCCTAATTGCTGAGATCGACAATTGCTTATCTCAGTCAGTGATTCCTGGCGTTGCAGCCGGCTCTGATAAGTGAGCGCTGCATCAACCACCTGCGGTCTTTAGCCGTTTCAAATGATAAGGAGCCTCGCTGTTCTTCTTCTCTTTTCTACCATCTCGGAACATTGTACGGAAGGTTTGACCGTTGATCGGCGCTAGGCATGCCAACCTTTGGTGTTCGCAACTAATAGATCAAAACTATTTTCTGGGTTAACGTGACCTCCATTGGGGTCTGACTGTGAGCCGGCCGATTGGCGGCGCCGGCGTCATGAAGGTGTCAGGTCTTGTGGTATTATTCGGAAAAACTCGATGAGTGGCGTGAGTCGGCCTTGAACTCGCGCCTCGTTTCTGTGCCGCAGTCTCCTAGGAGAGATCTCGTAATGATTACATTACAACGACCATTGAAGGGCGTACCTGGAGTCCGATCCGGACGCGTCGCTGTTTCTCCCTGGGATGGAACTTGTGGGCGAAGGGCCCAAATCAGAGTGGAGCAGGAAACGGCAGACATCTGGGGGCGATCACCTCGGGCCCGAGATCGATAGGACATCGACTCGTCGCAAGGTCCGGTCTCTGAGGTCGCGTGCAGCCCTGGCGAACGTAGAAGTTAGCCGTCGATGCTTTCTCAGATGTATCGCCGCTATCAGCAAACACGATTACGTCATTGGTCGTTTGAAGGATCCGGCTTATTTCTCTCCTTATTTTTCGCCTCTCGCTTCGAATCGCAAACGTTCGCTCATCGGAATGAATTTCCGCTTCTGGTCGAATGATAAATATTCTGTCAGGATAAGGTTTCAAGTCGAATTCTATGGATTCGCATAACCTGGGAGAATGGAGCGCCTGATTCTCTTCTGCCGTCGTTTCGGCGAATTTTCCCGGTACATGAGCGTCGTCTCCGTCGGAACCCCCACGAGGTGACGTGCTTCCTACCGAGACGTCGGTCGGTAAACATCGGGGGAAACGACAAGAACGATCTCCAGAGCAATGAGTGAGCGGCAGTGGGGGGAATTTCCAGCTCACGGGCGGCCCATCGGTCGCCAGTTCGGCGTTGTATTGGCTCAGCTCGACAGCTCGGGAAAAAAACGCCAAATGCCAGCAAGGTTGTTAGGAATTGATACATCGATGGTAAACAATTTCGGCGGGCCCCGACTAGATCGTGTCGATGCCTAACAGCCTTCCGTCGACGAAGACCTTTCCTCTTCTCATGTGTTTATCGCGCGCGATCGAGTGATTTCACCGGTCGGCGACCGCGGATCCGCTCTCCATACCCTTATGTAAGAGATAAAACTCCGAGAGGAGCGACGCGTCGTCGTTATCAAAGTCATATGCATTACCAGAATTTTATTTTGCGAAGAGATCGCGGGATTCGCCGCTTCGGCGACGGAATACGAGACAGCGCGAACCGCGGCATCGGAACGTTGTGCGAGTTCTCAGTCAGAGGGCAGCCACCGCTCGCCGGTCACAGCAACGGGGAGGTCAACAGCAAGACTCCGGGCAATAAACTCGACTGCGGGAGGAGCAACAGGCCTGACAACAAAATGAGCGGGAGACGGGACCGTCAGCAACAAAATGGCTGCCGGCAGCCGTACATAGGTACTTCTCCCAAAAACGAGCCATCGTGCTCGCAGAAGCAACAGCGCGAACGAGCAGGCGGCGCGGCGTGGAGACGGTCTGTCAGAAACACGCAGAGTCTCATATGTTCTAAGTCTCCTATACGTAAGCAACAACGTAGCCCAGAATAGTGCTTTAATATAGCACGCTTAAAAGCGATAATTGGTCCGGTGAGCGACTTCGGAAATGAAAGGGCACAGCAGCGCCCGAAGATGCAAACGTCCCGCTGCCGAGAAAAAGACGCCAATGTTCGTGGCACCGGCGGAATTCCTCGAAGACTTCCCGCAAGGGAGTTGCGGAGAGGAAGAATTCAGAGACAAATCGTCCAGAAGAGAACGGGAGAACCTGTTTCCGCGTCTGAGGCGTTCGAGGCAGACATCCTATAGAGAGCTGTGATATTGAGCGGGGCGTATTTCATCACAGACGGTCTGTGCTCGGCTTGTCTGGCTGCGATTTTCTTTCCGCCACTGACGTGATCAGATTCCCCTGATTCGCTGATGTGAGCTCGCAGCATCTCGTCTAGTGTTTCTTCCCCCGAACACCGAGCTCCAGCCCTGTTTCGGGTGGATTCTGCTGGCCCCCGCGGGAAAAATTCCCTGAAAATCCCCGAAGCGACCGCTTGCGTCCCGCGGCGCGGGGCGGGGCTGAAGGATTAGGTTCGTGGACGAGTCGCTGAGACTCACCTCGCGGATGCATGCGCATCAGCTCGAACAACAGGATGTTGCTTTCCCTCGCGTCAATGACGACGATGGAGAAAAAAGGTCTCGAGTGCTCGAGGTCCGTGAAGCTTTCGACATCGATCGAGTAAAAACCGGCAGACTCGGCTCGGCCCGAAAGCCACCCTTTTAGGCTTGTTTACAACATTGTCCCGCTTGCTGGACCGAGTCTCCGAAGGCCAGCCGAATAGACTAACAGTCTGAGTGACTACTCGTGCCGGTGTCGAAGATGACCGTGGCCGCGAGTGACGGCGGCGGCGGCGGCGGTCCCTAATGATCTGAGAAAAGCGTCGCGCACGTGGTCCGGGATTCTTCGGAGAGCGGCGAATCATAGATGGCAATGGTAAACGTCTGGCGGTTTTCCAAGGAGACTTGTATCGAAACATCGCCTGTCGTCTGTTCTCATCGGCGTTCGCTTCTGACCGTCTGGTACGTCCTCGTCCGCCTTTCCGGATCGCGGCCTCGGCACGACGCCTTCCCGGAATCCTTCCATTACGAAAATTCAAAGCCTGGTGCTGATACTATCGCCGGACATGCCATGTCCGACGGATGTTGCCTAGTGGAGCTTCGAAAAAGGTTTTTCCCGAACAGGATTTGATAGATGCTCAATAATTTAGCAGCAACTCGAGCCAGGGTATCGGAGGATTGGCTAACCGACAAGCAACGGGAGAATTTACATGGAGAGAGCTCCCTCATCAGCCGTGAATTATTTATGAAGCGCTTGATTAATTGCTTTTCCGGATAAATCACTCCTCTAGGCGCTGAGTGGTCTCTCGAAAGGCTCTCTGATCGGTATCTCTGCAGGAAGTCGAGCTTGTTCGAGCATATGCACATACACCTGAACTGTATTGAGATTGATATGTACATATGTGTATATGCGTAGGGGACTGGTTCGAGACTGCCGCGTACGAGCTTCATGGTGGGAAGCCGAGAAATTCGCAGCCTAGCTCTCCCGATTGACTTCTGATGAGTGCGGAATTTCAAATCCATACTCGGAACAAGCCACAGGCCTCGAGATTTGAACGTTCATCCTTCTGCAGGTCGATCAACGTTCGAAACTGCTTCAGCATAAACAAGAAGCACGATCATAAAGGACGCATCGTGCTTGCCCTGTACACCAGGCAAGACTGCTTCGCCCTGCAATGTGCCGATACTGAGGAGCAAGACCGTTGGTGGCAAGCGCTCGTTCGACTCCAGCAGGAAGGACACCTGATTCCGGACCAGCAACCTCGGCCGAATTTCGGTGAGCTCTCGCACAGCGGAAGTTTTACCAATATGCGCGTTCTGAGTTCTGATCATCCAGCCTCGCTTTAACCGTTACGTCATTATCCACAGAACACATATGGGAGGTGAACATCAAAGACAAAGGCCTGGGGAACCAGAGAGTACCTCTGGGATCTCACAGACTGTGCCTGACGGCGCGAACTCTGAGCTTAGTGCGTATGGAACGCGAGTCGTCGAATAACCAGGGACACGCCAGCTCGTCTGATGCCGACGGATCGAACGTCCTCGACTTCCCATTGAATTCCATCCGACGATGCGGTCATACAGACTGTTTCTTCTTCATGGAGCTCGGTCGCAGCAGCATCACCGGTGCCGGGGAGCTCTGGATGCAGACGGGCGACACAGTCATCGCTCAGAATATGCACGAAGTTCTTCTAAGGTGAGCTGTGCATCCAGTCTCTTTGCCGAAATTCCTTATGAAATTTATCGAAAATTCAGACTATAGCCCTCTAGAACTCGAGTAGAAATCTTTTTCCGGAATTCTCAATCTCAAACTTCTGCCCCCACCCCAGCGCTATGAAGTCGTCCAAGTCAAACGAAGACCTGCATCGGGAAAGATCCAGCTCGACCTCGGAAAATACCAACTCGGTAGCTATTCCTCGCCTTCCCGGACAATTCATGGTCGGAACAGCCTTGGGGAGCTCACCCCATAGCGGCCAGGGCTCGTCCTTGGGCTCGACGGGTGCATCTCCGAGAGATCGAAGCGATTCGTTGCCGAATCGTTCGAGGCAAAACTCGGACTTCAACAGCCACCCGATGCACAGTAGATGCAATACTATGGATTGCACCCACGTCATGCATCCGCAACCTTTCCATTGGCCTGTTGGCCCGTCGACTTCGCCCATAGGACAGCTCCACAACCATTCGTCGGTGGAGAGCTGCACCGAACTCGAGAGCAGTCCTCACCAGCCCGTGCCACGAAATCATCTTCACATCAACGTAACGCATCCACTCGACCCTCATACGATAGCCGAGGAACAGGAAAATCCGGACTACATCGCCATGAACTCACCGTGCGGAGCAGGCGGATGCGGCGATCAAACCGATACAGGTAGCCTGATTCCATCGCCAGTCACATTGACAGATGGCGGGCCTTCATCGCACAGCAGTCATTGTGGCACGGCAAGCTATTTGCCCCATCAAAGCTCAACTTCATCGACCGAGTTCATGAAGATGTCTCCTACCCACGACGGCTCATCATCTCATCAAAACAGCAACAATAACAACAACAACAATACTGACTCAAGTTATATGTCAATGAGTCCGGTGGGCTCATCGGCGGCCAGCATCGATCTCCTCAACGGTGAGTCAACCTCCTCTTGTGCTTTTTCGCAATATCCATTAGTGATCAATATGCTACGAATGCTGTCAACGGAGACGAGCGTCGAGTGGCGCCATTTCCGAAGTTTTTGAAGCGCTCTAATTACACACAGAAGGCTCCGTGAATCACTGCGGTCCTCTTCCAGGCACAGGGACGCTTCCCAATGGATATGTGCCCATGATGGCCATGTCGTCAGTCGCGAATCTCGGTCTGCACAAGAGCAACAACTCAGAAGCCTCTCCTACATCTCCACCCGGCTACATGGAAATGGCGCCGTTGTCCTCGTCTCTCCCGAAATCCGGTGAATATCTTATCATTATCAGGAGCAGGTGTTCAGACGTCGATGATGTGCAAGAGGACGAAAATTATTTGATTTATATGGAATGGTTGCATTCGCCCGCGGCCCGGAGGTCAAGTACAGCGAGGCCGACACGTTCGAGACCGCCCAAGTCGAATTTCACGCATACGATGCCGTCACGTCATGCCGTCCAATAATTCATCGAAGACGACCTTATTTACTCACTGTCGGAAAGATAATGGTATATGCCTGACAGGAAACCATTATTTAAGTTCTCACCCAGCTGTTGCAGCGGCTGCTCGCTCGTGTGAGCTTGCAGCCGTTCGGGCCGGCTGCTTTTCACGCACATCCCTAGTGACGCTGCTTGTTTTCGCGGAGTCGATGTATATACGACTGTAGAAGTATCGCCGATGGAAAATTTGTTTGTTTATTCGCTGCGAAGGACTTGACTTGGCGATAGGCTTACAATTAGTAGATGAGGCTTTCGTTTGATTTGCTTTTTCCGGTCAATTATTCTCGGTCGGATCTTTATTGTATTTATTTACACACACACATATATCCCCCGGCCGTCTATGGCGCGAGCAATGAGAGAGTCATTTTTTTGCTGAACGAAGCTTTATTCCCCCGCCCGCTCCCGTGAATCGTTGAACCCTGTGTAGATAAACTCAAGATTCCTGAAACGAGACACGTCAGAAAGTTTCCTGGAGAGTCAACCTAGCTGAGGCTTGCGGGTTTATATCTCTTCTAATCTTCTTAGGACACCTTAGCGTGAATGTTTTTCGGTGCCACGTGTTATGAGTCCCCTGGGCCGACCTTCGCGTCGTGGTCCCATCTCGAAATTCATGGTTCCATTTGAGCTGTCATCCTTCTTCGCTTTCCTCCAGGCGTTTGGATGAGGAGACTGGGCCTCCGTATGAAGTTTCAGTGCTGTTGAGAAACCATCTGTCGCCCGCTCCTACAATTTTTTTTCAGTCAAGCCCCCGTTTCTAGATTGTCCAAACGCGCCTTTATGTCTGTTTGAAACGCTTCTCCCCGGTGGCCAGTATCATTCCTCCGACGGCTCAGTTCATCCGCGTTTTCCGCAATGAGATTCGATCTTCCCTCCGAGATTCCATTTTTTCCTCTCCCCGAGATTCCATCCGTTTCTGCTCGGAATATCATTTTTTTCTCGCTCGATCGATCGAGGAGCTCGTCGATGAATCTGAAGCGCGGCGGCTCCGCAGGTTTGCGATTCGACTGATTGAGCCTTGAGGCCCGGTGCAGCTGAGCGAAAGCAGAAGATTTCCATTTCTCTTGTCTCTGTCAATGCTCGAATGCAAGTGTGGCATCATCGCGGCAGTCGCGAGCCACCGAAGGCTCAAAACAAGAAATATGTAGCCTCCCTAGCGTCGCATGGTCAATGATAGTGTGTTGAGGAGTTCTCCGCTCTTTATTGCAGTCGGCGGTTTCAACAGCTCTTGGGGCTCGTCGATTCATTCCCTCCACGAGACTTCGCCCACCTTCGGTCTTAATCTGGAGGGTTTCCACTTGGACAAGGTGAAGAGTTTCATTGCTCCATCGACCGATGACGACAACTCCATCAGGACGGGCAGATCGTACTCCGTCGGCAAGCGCCCCAAAGAACCTCTTTCAAACACTGAGAGAGTACGAGCGTACAGCGTTGGATCTCAGGCTTACCCGCCAGCTCTCGCAGCTAAGAAACGTCAGCAACAGCATCAACAAGACATTCTGGCCACACCGACATCGGGTACGCCAAATAAACAACAAATTCTCTGACCGACCGGTTGAATCGTTTCGAGGAGAATCCCCCTCGCCCTCTCCACCCGGCAGGGTGTTCTCCACACACAGGGAGAGGAGACACTCCTCGAAACGATCCCGAGATTCTTTGCTTGCGGATGTACTTCGTAGTTCGTTCGTGCTTACCAGAATCATGAGAAAAGTTTTGACTCCAGATGAGGATACTTCCCCTTTGCGTACGGAGCAGTGTAATCACGATTTTGTTCTCTGTCGTTGCAGACCGGGGCCGTTCAAACAGCTACTCGAAGAAGTCGTCGAGTACGAGTACGCTCGGTGGATCTCGTCACGAAGAAGAGGAGAAAGATCTCATGGAGATCACCTACGATGAAAATTGGCACCGGACAACAGCCGCAGCCGCGGCTGCTGGTGCCGCCGCGGCCGCCGTCACAAGTCATTCTCATTCACTGCCATCTGGCGGTAGCACGTCGATCAACAATAACAATAACTACGACAGTGACTACCTTCCCATGCGGGTCAATTACAAGGTCCGTCTTACACAGTCGCTTTCAATGCCACCAGGATCCATTGCCTCCGCGTTGCTTCATTGAACATTATTTTGATTTGGATTATTGGTCGGGAAGTCTCTCGGCATGGTGCTCGTTGCAGGCCGTATGCGGTTCTCCGACCGTTGGCTCCTTCGAGAAATCCGACCCCTCTCGCCCTGTCCCCCTCCTTCCCCGCTCGCTCAATCTGACCTCGAGCCAATGTCTGTTTTCCAGGAACCGGAACCTATGAAGCTATTCCCAGTCAATGAAATCGATGTCTCTCCGCCTCAAGTCAAGGATTCTGTCCAGCAGAACGATTTCTCGACGGTGATGCTGAGCAAGAAAGTACCCAATCCCGATTACATGGACCTTAGCTGCGGGCCGATGAGCCCGCCCCAGAGCGTCCCTCAGATGCCGGCGTCGCGAGCGACCCCAGACAGTGACGGGGAATATGTGTCGATCGATATGAGTCGACCTTTCCCGAGTCGTCTATCGAGCAATCCCATCATCGGGGGCCCAGAACCCAAGAAGAGCAAATCGGCCTCGACTCTCGACCCAACAACTCCGATGACGACGCAGCATAACTACGAAAATCTCTCATTCGGAGCTAACGGAGCGACCGTCGAGGCCGTTTCCAGCCAGGAGCCGATGGACACGGATTCGAAACCGTCAACAGCGGTCGCCTCCGCGGTCGTACCCTCGGTTTCGAGCGTGTCGAACGGCAGCCACCACGAGCTCAACTATGCGGCGTTGGATTTGTCTCCTCCCACTTGTGAAGAGCCCCCAACCTCACGACCTTTGCCCCTTGGTTGCTCGGCCATGGAGCTGACTACCTCCAACCCCTCTGGAGTCGCCTACAGCGAAGTCGACTTCCGAAAGAGCGAAGGTCTTCGGGGCTCCTTGATACGTGAAGGACCACGGGTTTAAGACGTCGTGAAATGAAGTGGATTCTCTACAGGTGCCAAACGCTCCTGCAGCTGACTGCAGCAGGAGCCTACTCTTCTAGTCTCACACCACAGACGACCGTGCCACGGTTTTGGTTTTGTCCGCTGAAACGCATACGCTCGTGACGTCGCGTCGCTGCTCGGCGACAGTGCGACTCTGAACTAGGGCGGCAGCCGTGATCCTCGTCGCGGCCGAACTCGACCCGATTCGCGAGCACCGGCACCGCCGACGCGATCACTGCTGCTGCCGCCGCCGCCGAGCCGCCGAGCCGCCTTCCTCATCCTCCCTGCTCCACACTGTCTGTAAAAAGCGCCTCATCAACGTCGTCGACGATATCATCATCATCGTGTATAAAAACGCCCGGATCATACCGGAGGACTACTTTTCAATAGTTTACTAATATATTTATATATATTTACACGGAAAAATCGTGGAATGCGCATGCACGCCACGAACGCGCACGTCCCCTAACGGAAAGTAGCTGGGCGTCTGGGCGCTGGGTTCGATCGGGGGTATACCTAAACTCTCGGCCGGACGCTCGCCCATCGACGCATAAGACGAAAATAGGTCAACGAATAGAGATCAATGACAGTAACCTGGGAAGAAGCGGATAGGGAAATGAGGTTCATCTCTCGGAACGAGATATTCCTCGATAAGAGTAGTGTTTTGTCTCTTTGAGACAAAGAACGGAAGATGGCTGACGATACGACTAATGCCGACGCCGATGGTTAACGCCGGGATGTTACTGGTATAGAACTGAATTCCTAGACGAATGAGAAACGAGCGTGCAATGCTGGGATTAAGGGACGAGCTGCTCTCCGTAAGCTCTGCCAGATTTGTGTAAATTGAAGCGATTCGTTGCGCTTGAGATCATAGTCTCCGGGCTCCTATCTGGGACATCGGTCCAGGACGGGGAAGGAATAATGGGGAACAAATCACTGACTGAATTTGAGGCGAGCGAGAGAACTTCATCGGGGAACTCTTTTTCCTTCCTCGTCCTTCTGCGCCTCCTCCTGCCCCTATACCTACTACTCTCTCTCTCACTCTACATCTGTCGTCGTGATCACGTCTAAATCGTAGGACTCCAGAAGAAAAAACGGAAGACAAATCACAGGATTCGAGACAGCCTGGAACTCACTCGGGGAACTCGTTTTTCCCCTGTTCTCCTGCGCCTCCTCCTCCTCCTCTACCCTGTACTCTGTCTCTTTACTTCTGTCGTGGAGGTTACGTCCACATATACTTTGGAGATGATTTCCGCGAAATCACAGAAATGGAAAGAAGCTCAAAAACTCCAGAGCGCTGCGTGGAGGTTAACGTTGTGACAAATTATCGGTTTCGGAGCGGCTGGACCGATGATCATCTGGGTTATAGTTCTCTTTTGGATCTACCCATCGACATCGTTTCTCAAACTCTCCTTTCTGGAAGCGAAGAAATAAAACACTCGAAACAATCAATTCCTACATTCCTGATGGTGTATTGGGCTGACTGGTTGACAGATCGACTGACGACTTTTTGATTGATAGATTGATTGATTGACTGCGCGACCGATTGTCGCTGATTGATGAGCATTTCCATGAATTGAAAACTTTCGTTTCGTGCAACGATCCGCTGCTGCTGGGACAGCAACCGGAAGTTTGCTCGGAATGATGCTCCAAAGTGTCCAGCGGCCGACAACCGACCAATTGAAGTTTAGCTGATCGATTCAGTAATTCTTGCCCGACTGCCTGATTGGTGCCGGATCGGATAAAAGACAGAAGTCTTCTATTTTTTCTAAACTTGCCAACTCGAACTGACTCATGACGGGCAGCCTCCAGGCAACGGGTGAATCTCTCGCGTATGTTTCCGAATAGACTGATTATGATGAGGACAAGAACGGTTCCGTGTACGACAATACATACCCTAATTGGTCGTTTCTGATGTTCGATGACTCGAGCGATGACCCTGAAATTGTTCACGATTCCCATCGGAGCCTCGAAGAAAGGAAGGGAGAGCATCTCAACTTGAAATTCGAATCTGTACTGTGAACGATCGGAAAATCAATGTGTGTCACGTAATACCAACCGATCTGATCGGTTGCTCGAATAAGCGGAGGAACAGAGCAGAATGATCATTGTCTATCAATTGACCGTGTATAAACTATTATAATTTCCGATGAAAATCATTTTTTGTGTCCTAATTATACACACCTACTCGAAAATACCTCGGAAGGAATTCGTCAGCGATATCCCCACTCCCAGAGAGTCTAAGAGTTTCGTTCGCAGACGCTCCCCATAAGGCAGCAGATACGCTTCGGCCGACCTAGTGTGCCCAGGCAAGCTCAGGCACGCAGAAGCGGAGGAAGCATTTGGTCGCTTCCCTAGGTTTCCCGAGGTAAAGAAAAAGAAGGAGTCCACCATTTCTAGCGGAACTACAGATATCGACGGGGCTGATGGTCTCTGCTGGTGATTCCCCAGAATACAAGCGTTTCTGCACATCTTCGAATTTCTTCTCGGGACTGGAGCTTAGAGTAGGTGATTCGAATACCGGCAAGGGTCTCGCCGGACGGAGACTCTTCCTCGCGCCTGACATGAGTAACGCTGCACCCTTGCGAGTCATCTCATTGCCATGGTGTTCGTGACCGAAAGGTCTCGCTGAAGAATACGCACAAAGATGCCAACGATCGGAAAGTTCTCGATGCTCTCCGTGAGAGGCTTCAATTCCGGTTCGCACCTAGCCCATGGCTACGGTGATGATTAGATTATGAACGTGAAGTCAGGTTCGCGAGAGCGGTTCGACATTCGAGGGGGAGATCGAGAACGCCGTCTTTCTTTTTCGAGCTCCGATATCTACAGAACCCCCAGAACTCCTGACTAGACGATTCTCATATTCGATTTTCCTTGCCAACCTTTGCGTATCCAGACCACCATTATTAGGAAAACGTTATCCCCCATATGCATTCCTGTCTATTATTGAATCGAGTGGGCGCCGTACCGAGCGCTGAGAAGACGCACTGTTTCGCCCTCGAAGACGTGACAGAGTTGACCGCGCGAATGGAATTTGAATTGACGCGCCATTGCTCAACCTGCTGTCAGCTGTTCTGCTGCCAGCGTGTTCGCTCCGTTCCTTCCTGCTGGTTTAGCACCGATCAACAAGGCTGCTTATTTTGGTATTCACTCCACTCGCTTACCGTGCGGTATTCGACGAATTTTTGCGAACAGTCTTCCGAGACGAACAACGTGATGGCGACTCCGGAGTCGAATCCTCTGACTCCACTCTTCCAGGATCTGAACAAGTTCATCAAGATCAGCGATTTTGAGAAAGCGCAGAAAGTCGCTAACAAAAGTGAGTCCCAATCCCCTGAAATTCGGGAAGTCCATGACGGCGACATATGGCTCGAGGAAATTCCGAGTTGATCTTGAGCGCCGACCGATACTTTTGAGGCGTCAATATTATCCCATCGATCGGAGGTGCTGTCGTAAATTACGCCGAAGCAGACGGGTGTAGGTTGAGAAAAGCATTGAAATTTAGACGCGTTCGTTCCCGCGGCACCATTGCAGTCTTGACTCATCCAAACGGCGGGTACACAAATCAAAAGGCGATTCTCTGCAAGATCGTCTGTCTTGTCCAACTCGGCCGTTTCGAGGATGCCCACGAGTTTATCTTGAGGTGAGTATTCATGACGAGCGTCGGATGGGATCCCTGGATGAACTTATCGATTCCCTCGCGGCTTAAGACTGACAAGAGGATGGAGTTCTGACCTAGGGGACGTTCGACAAAATCTCTCACCGCTGTCAATCTTATCACACTGCAGAAATGAGGACAACATCACGGAAAACATCTCGTTTGAACGTGCGTACGTCTTGTATCGCACAGGTCGTCCGGAACAAGCTCTGGAACTCTTGGACAAATCCGGAAACGATGATCTCCGAACGAAGGAGCTACGCGGTCAGCTCTACTATCGTCTCGAGCGCTATCGCGAGGCTTACGATGTATACCGGTTAGTTTCGCGTAGTCGATCCTCGTAATGGTCCGTCCCAATTGACGAAGATCGCGAGGTCTTTGTGAAGAATGTCCCGTCCGCCGGACGGAGGAAAGCTCCGCGAGACAAATCCCTAGAGTCCCGAGTCGCTCACGAAACTCGTATTCATTCCTTTAGCGATCTTGTGAAGAATTCGGCCGATGAATTCGATCAAGAGCGGGCCACGAACTTGGCCGCTTGCATAGCTGGCCTCACAGCGGTGGATGGCCTTCCGAAGGGAGCACCGAAATTGCCGGAGACCACCTACGAGCTCTTATACAACAAGGCGGCTGTTCGTGTAGCGCAAGGCGAATTCAAGGAAGCTCTGAGCTTACTGAAGAAGTCCGAAGGTACGGCTACCGAGGTCTCTCAGCCCAACGTAACCGCGAAAAAATCGCTGCGATGAGGAATTTCAAGCGATGATGGGGACGGCAGAGCCCTCGGATCGGATATATCAAAGCCGAAGCATTGACCGCAATCAATCCTTCCGTGTCTTGCAGAACTCTGCCGGAAAACGTTGAGCGAGGAGGAGGCCTCAGAAGAGGAACTCAATGACGAAGTCTCAGTTATCTTAGCCCAAATAGGCTACGTAAACCAGATGATGGGTATACCTGAAGCTGCCAACAAATATTACAATCAAGTAAAGTATCTGGATATCCCGCGCGCTCGGCTTGTTGTTGGAGAGGGAACGCAGTCTGTTCGATATGAGGTTACATGTTTTGGGAGAACCGCTCTCCGAGTTGAGAGATTGTCTGCGACAGAGCGTAATGAAATATTCCTTGCAGGTCCTCAGGAACAAGCCTTCCGATGTCGCCGTGCTGGCCGTCGCGTCAAACAACATCATTTCCCTGAACAAGGAACAGAATATCTTTGATTCGAAGAAAAAGATCAAGGCTTGCATTGCGGATGGCATCGAAAGCAAGCTCACCAAAAGTCAACGGAAGAGCATCGCATTGAATAACGTGCTGGTGGGCGCATCTTCTTTCCCCATTACGTACTAATCAGGCCCTGTGCATATACATCCAAGAAGTCCACCTAAAATTATGACTTCTCTCCACAGCTCAACTACTATGGCCACTCTTCGTCGGAGCTCTGTTGGCGCCTGATGAAGAACTTGGAGGAATTGTCTTCTCCCGAAGAAGCTGGGATCGTTCTGCTGAAAGCGGCCCTCTTCGTGAAAGACAAACAGCTCCCCAAGGCGTGCGAGGCCCTCAAATCCTTCGGTGAAAAGTACAAGAGCGAGAGTTTGGCAACGAGCCTGGCGTGTGCCCAGATATATCTCAGCAACAAACAAATCGAGAAAGCTGCCGAAACGCTCGAAAACCTCGGCGATGCGACCTTCACTGCCGGTGTGTTGTCCGCTCTAATTTCCTTGCACAGGAAGCTGAAAGACGATGAGAAAGCTGCCCGGGTAAGTTCAGGTCACCGGTAACGATTCTCGAAGTCCGGGAGTTTTTCACGCGTGGGGATGATCCTCAGCACTGTATCTGTCCTAATGGATGTTTCCTCGGCAGCTTTTCAAAAGAGCGATTCAGCACCATAAGAAGAACAACCCGAAATCCGAGCTCTTGCAATCCCTAATCCGGAAGTCGGCTCAATACTTTCTAAGATTGGGCAAGCAAAAGGAGGCTGCAGCTCTGCTTCAAGAACAAAGACAAAGCGATCCTCACAACGCCAAACTCTTGGCGCAGTTGGTCGCGGCCTACTCGACGTTTGATCCAGAGAAGGCTAGAGAGTGAGTGCTGTAAAACGTGTCGAACGCTCAAATTTATTTTCGCTGCCACGGTCCGATTTCCCAGCTGGGTCACGCAATAATTATTTAACGATACCCGTGCGTTTCCCCGCTGGATCCTCGGTAAGGCTCGTTGTGAAATATCTTTTTGAGCTGATTTCATCTTCCTCACGAATTCTCAGGGTTGCCAAGGACCTCCCGAATGTTGAAGTCATTGCTTCTCAAGTTGACGTGGCTTCTCTGGAAGCGACGAACTGGGTGATGGGAACGCGACACGTGAAAAAAGTCGTGGCCTCACCAGCTTCGAAAGATAGTCCCCAGTCCGGCGATCCGACCAAGAAGGAAACGGCCCAGAAGAAAAAGAAGAAGAAGGGAAAACTCCCCAAAAACTACGATCCGAACGTACAACCAGATCCCGAACGTTGGCTGCCCAGATGGGAGCGTTCGACCTTCAAAAAGCGGGGCAAGCGTGCGAGAGAAGCAGCCATCGGCAAGGGACCTCAGGGAGCGGTCGGAAACACCGCCGACCTGTAAGTTCAGGATTTACGACTTGGTCAGTTCAGCTTTCCCGTGACTCGATCCATACCGCCATCTTGACTAATTGCATCAATTTTGCAGGGACGCCAGCAACAGGCCAACCCAAGCGGTCGAGGAAAACATAACGCCTCGCATGAAAGCGCAGAAGAAACTTGGTAAACCTCAACAGCGCAAGAAAAAAGGCAAAGGGAAATGGTGAAGGAAGGCCGATAATAAAAGAAACTTTCCCATACCGGTGTTCGAGTTATCAGTCGGTGTTCAAAGAACCCGAGTTAAATATCTTGGGGGAGGGTGCTGAAGCTTTCAAGAAAGTACTTTGGTGTTCCCTCGAGGAATCAATCAAGGGTTGTCTATCCGGCGCATCTCTCACATTCCCCTAAGTTCTGTCACATCGTTTTTATTTTCGCCAAAACGGCGTAACAATCCCAGTCTCAGGGACACGCACATACAGGATCCATGTAGCTGGATGCGTCCATGATTGACTCTCATGAAGGAACGTTAGGAGTGAGCATGAGAATCCCATCAGCCTCGCAGCAAACTGATGCTTCATCTGACTTCCAACTCCTGCACCGGCTGCCAGGATCAACACCGAGAACCGTGGATCAGGGAGCAGCTCGACGGGAATCGCTGCGGGTGGGAAGGGTGTTGTCATGTCCCGTATAGGTAGATGAAATTACTCTGGAAGAACTTCCAGATAACTCTCGACTATGATGCGAATGTGTCACTTCGTAGGCTGTCGTCCACCCCTCCAAGTTCAAGTTAATTCTCAATCCAAGAGTGGGCAGCTCAGACCGACTGGGGCTTGGGCATTGAGAACTAGCACGCATGGGTTCGCCTGCACTGCCTGGACCTGTCACTGCGCTTCGTCCCGCGAAACTCATTACCATTTCGCTTCCCCGGACCGCGGGAGGTGAAACCGGGTCATTGGCACACTCGAAGGACGCCGGGTGTACGACGAGGATCGGCGCATATTAACCTTAGGGGAGCACCCCCGGCTCTCTCCGGAGCTCGGGGTAGCGACGTCGACGAGCTCTGCGGTCGAAGACGAGCTGACCCGCTCAGTACAGATATTGCGAAGCGATTTCGGGACGCCCCCAGGGTCGAGGCTACCCGACGCATCCTTACTCCCTGCCTCCTCTCTCATCTTCAGATGTAACGGAGAGTAATGCAGTAGAACTGTGTGCTCTCGTGCTCTTCATAGAAGTGGTCATCAGTCGGAGGCTTCCGCTTCGGTTGCTGCAAATACCTTGGAAGCAGACTCTCGGTCATCCCGGAAGACGAAAATACTGAAATGCCTACGATCAAATTGACCAGCAGTGAAGGCACGGTTTTCGACGTAGATGTTCAGGTCGCCAAATGCTCCTTGACAATCAAGACAATGCTCGAAGATCTCGGCATGGACGATGAAGACGACCCGATTCCACTTCCAAATGTGAATACGGCCACTCTGGGCAGAATCATCGAGTGGGCGACGCACCATAAAGACGACCCGCCCCGGTCAGATGACCCCGAGACCAGGATGCGGGCGTTCAGGGAGGCGATGTCTACCTGGGACGAAGAATTTCTCGAGCTAGAGGCAGAGACTCTGAACGAGCTTTTGACCGCCGCAAATTACCTCAACATCAGAGGTTTGCTCGACCTCTGTCTAAAGAAGATCGCCGGCCGAATCAGAGGCAAGACTCCCGATGAGATTCGGAGTATCTTCAATCTGCCAGACGATTTGAGCCCGTCGGAGAAGGAAGAAATTCGACGTGAGAACCAATGGTGCGAACATAGATAGAATCAAGTGTTTCGTTTCGATAGTGTCCCCATAACCCCGTAACCGAACGTCACCTACATCGGTATCACAGGGAAAATTTGGCGCTCCTGAATGAAATAAAGTCGAGACCTTTCACATTGAGTGACGAGTAGTTTGTGAGTCGACTGGAATTGTAGCGTTTTGCGCTGAGAAGTCCCAAGCAGCACGCAACGGAAATCGAGGCCCTATGGTGGAGCAGCAGCCTTCGACTGAAGAAGCTCTGGGACGCTATACATACCTCTTCCTCTACGCCAGGGGAGCAGCAAGTCCCGGAACAGGGAGGGGTTATCGACGAATCCTATGATCGAACGTGTCTCTCGATTCCTGTCTGGACACCTGAGTTATCAGGGAGCAGAGATATTATGAGGTCTGGACTCTATTCCTCTGAGTTCAACCTCCGCGAAGAAGGCGGTCGATTTGTCCAGCTTGACCTGTTTGACTTTGACCCGACAAAGTTGTGGAACGGATGCAGAAAAATCGATAGCAACTTACGCTCTAATGATCGCTTAGGCAAACTAGACAGGTCTCGCGCCTAATTTACTATTCGAGGATGACCTTATCTTCTGCAAAGGAATGTCTCACTAATGAGACATCATGGTCTGGCTAATGTGTACTCGTTCATGAGATCTTAGATCACACGTATGCTAATCTTCTTGGGATTCGAGCAGCCGTGCTACCATTCGCCGTTCTCTGTTCGCCGAGAAACAGAGATGAAGTTCGCCAATGTGACCCTCAAATGCGCCTACACTAACGTGAGCTTCAGATTTCGAATGATAACTCTCTATTCTTGGATCCGATATCCTATTAGAGCGATTTACTTCTTCCCCGATCGTAGTTCATACCGATGGTGATAATGTATCATGAGAACAACGATCCGAATGGACGCAAAAGAATGTGGGGCCTTGTCGGATCTGCTTTTGCGAACATCACAAGCTCGCTGGGAATCGACTACGAGTTGATTGAGCCGCCAGATGGCATACATGGCGGACCATTGGAAAACGGCAGTTACGACGGCACCATGGGTCTAGTGAAGCGTAACGTGAGTTCAGGCAAATTCAACGAAGATTTTTGACGACAGGTGTCGAGAGCGCCTCGTATCGGACTAAAAGTTTCCCGTGCTTCCAGGAAGTTGATATAGCTTCTGGTCCTTTCCCGCTGACTGGGGATTTGTTTGACAACTTCCTGACGTTTTACCCTTTCAAATTCATCGATCTCGCCATCATCGGCGGTTTTCAGAAGGAATACGAAAGTCACCCTTTCGTCAGTATCCTGGAGTTCAATGTGGAGGTAGGTGTCGGGAAATCAGACACCTTATGAACTGGTCGATATTCTTCCTGATAAATGATGACTCTCGATCCTGACTGAGAAGCGTTGAAATACGAACTTCTACCATATGCGAAGAATTGGTCTGGTGCTGCGAAAGAGTCTGGTCTGAAGAATCTGATTCGATAATTATAGGTACGCTGGACCTATCTCGCGATCATTCTGTTTTCGACTTTGCTCAGCGGGTTCCTGATGCACCGTTATCGGGAAATGGGAGCTCCAGAGAGAGATACGAGCTCTCCGCTGACTGACAGTTTCTTGGGACTGTATGCGTTCACTCTTGGAACTGGATCCTTGGCCCACTTCAATCACTTGGTCAGTCAACACGAGTGGAATCGAGTGACGGTTGACTCTCTAGTCACGAACGGCAGGGGATATTCACAAACGAACGTTCTCTTAGGTATCCTTGAGATACCGGCAACCGGTATCCGATCAAAACCTCAATGGGGAAGATCCGGCCTTACCGATCAAAAAAGTCCAGATTCCTCATAGACGGCGGACTGCTTGTTCCAATGCGATTGTTGGGCTATCTCCGATACAGGGCGGGGAGAGAGGAATCCCATTAGTCGCAGGATTTTCGGAACGCACTTGAAAGGATCAAACGGAAGACGCCTTCCTTGAGATCAGATTCCAGATATATCATTGGAAACGATTCTGTGATTCTCGTATATCGGGCTCGATATGCGGCCACGGGAGCGCTGTCCCGATGACATCGATTGATTTCCCCTCCAGGCGATTCGTCTCCTTTATCTAGGTTGGTCGGTGGGAATGTTCTTCCTTGTTTGTTATTTCACCTCATGGGTCTGTGCGAGCTCCGCCGTGAAAACTCCCACCCCAAGGATCAACAACGTGGCGACTCTGACGAAATATCCTCACATTGTTCCTTACATACTGAAAGTGAGCGACTGTGTTTTTGCTCTCTTACCTAAAATCTGAAATCATTGTTTGATAATTGGAGATCGGACGCGATTCCGTAGCTACTTAGATGCTCTTTCGTTCATCCGGGACGCTTCAGGGCTGCTCCCTCCTGAAAGAATTCAAGGAATGCCCGCTACCTCACTATCGGGAGCTCTATAGGATGGTGAAAGACAATGACGGCGAACGGATACCTTCCGAGCAATTCGAGATCGAGAACTTACAGAAAGTCACCAATAATGAAGGTATGGAATCCGCTTGCCGATTATTATCTAGAGCAGATACAGCTCTCCTGCGTCCTCGCGAGCTCTCGGCCCTCGGTGTCGCTGACGCTGAAAGAAACATCCGAACGGGGGCTATTGTAGGAGTCATCATCAGCGACGTCCCTTGCGTAGAGAGCCATATGTGGCGTTGTAGTCTCTTGAAAGGCATGATGTACGTTGCCGAAGAGCGGATCGCTCAGATGCAGTTCACTTGGGCTGCAGTCTGGGAACTAGATCCGAAGATAGTGGCGGCCATCAATGAACGGTGAGTGACCGACGCGTCGAATCGGTATCATTTGAATCATTCAATTTTCGCTAATCAGGGTTAGCGTTTCTTCCCCATGGTGATGAAATCAGAGTTCATTGGATCACCGAGATGGCAGTGCCGTGGATGAGGTCGTTCGATATCAACCCGAAGCTTGAAGACTGTCTCATCAGGGGAAAATCCAAGCAAAGAACCACCTTTATCGATTTGGGCCTCTTCGACGTAGCGGCTGCGTTCTATCTACATCTCTTCCTCTGTGGTTTTTCGATATCCTTACTTATCGGTAGGTGAATCGCTGTTCGAGCGGAGTCCTAGCGAAGAATAGTCCGATCGACAGTGTTGCGGCAAAACTCATTCGAGGCCTGAAAATGCAGACCCGTCGCCCTCCGGTTTTGAGTATCCGATCCACTGAAAATTTTATCGATTCAAGGTGAAGTCATCATGAGGTCTTGTCGCGACAAGTCAGGTCGTCTCAAGGATTACTCATTCGGAAGTTTCACTCGGCTTTCGACGCCGTCGTCTTGAACGCTGAAATTTCGGCCCTAGTGTTGACTTGTCTCCTCTCGACGAGTCTGACGCCGATCGTAGTCGCGAAACTTGCGAACTTTGTCTTATGGAAAGAGCCTGAGTGCCCATATCACTTTCGAGTGACAATGTAGCGTTTGATCTCCTATGCCCAAGCAATGTAGGCTGCGAATCGCAACTTGAGACAAGCCTCCACTCGCAGGCATTTCGCCGCGAATCGCGAGGTCGATCTGGTGTGGTATACCATTCAAAGATTGGGCATACGCCCGAGAATTTCCAATAAAACCGCTTCATTGCACGTCTATACATCAGATGAAGAGTTCTCGCGCTTCACCAGAGAGCATCGGCACCCCCCTTGATGAACTCCTTGAAAGTCTGAGATCGCAACGGGAGAAGGAAGAGGACAACCACAGCCAAGCGCAGCCAAAAAGCTCCTCCGCCGTCGGCACGATGAGCTTCGGAGCAGATTTCTGATGTCACCCAATAGGGATAGCGCAATAGGCGCGAGAGGGAGAACCTGTTTTGAGTGGACTCGTCGACCGAATCAAATTGGTCTCAGTTCCCTCTTCTTGATCGCGATCGCAAATCGCAATGATTGATATCGTGAAACGCCGGTGTAATCTGCACGGCGATCAATTCAATCGGCAAACCCTCTTTATTCATCACATTTGGCAAGGAATTCCTGAGCGAGACAGGGAGCTGCATACTGCACGGAATGATACACACTATGAAAAGGTAAGACGTAACAGACGAGCGGAAACCTAGATTGATGAGAATCCAAACGATAAGGGGTGGCGCTTCCTCCTCCCTCCCGCGCCCGGGTCGTTGATGCTTACAAGTACTGTGGTTTGCATCGCAACGGTGCAAGAGTCACGATGCCTGATGGCTCACGGACGGGAAGCTCATTTTAGGCTTTGTCATCTGGAACGAGAAGCTGACATCCGAATTCTGCGGAATCTCCCGAGCTTGAGGCTCCGTAAGTGGGCTTACTAATTCTGGCGTGAAATATGTTACGGACCCCGCTCATCCGGAGGGATATGGGGTAAAAACTCACTGTAGTAAACCCATCTGTAGGCAGCCGGATTCGTCGCCTTCATGTGCAGGTAGTAGTCATTATCGGGAGGTCGCTTCTATGGGAGAGTTCCTTCGTTATAGTGAGTGTCATGTGCCTCTCTCTTACCGTTCCTCAGAGGATCTCTCGGTATTTCGGGAGACTGACCTTGTGTTTGCAGGACGCCAGCATCGATTGGATTGATACGCATACTGCCTCAACATTGAGACACGGTCTCCAATCCCTGGTCAAAATCGATAGGCATATATCCCCATTCGAGAAAACATGCGGGTTGACCGGCACTTGCGGGGGGACGAAGTTTACCTGGTCGGGGCGAAGCAATCAACTACTTTGTTCTTGAACTCTACTCCTTGATCTCCGAGGAATTACTTCCGGACGAGGGAGAGATGAGACTCTAGATATGACACCATCTAGATCTAGATTGTCTCGATTTCTCTCTCTTACCTTCGGAGGTTTGAAGGGGTAATCGTCGTTGAAAACGAACAGGAGTTTGAACTCTTCCCCCGCATAAATCGAGTCATTTGGCCCATACATTTCGAGAGTCCATCTGAAGTAGCGTGAAGTCTTAAGCTTCAGCCGACTCAATTTGTCGACCAGCAATGCTCTCCGAATCTATGAATATGCACCAGCCATTCTTCCCGGAGGGGATCTTGCATAGACACTAACTCCGTGAGATCGTCCCTCTGATTCGGAATCACGACGATACCATGAGGCGGGTCTGATCTCATGTTCAGGTATTCCTTCATGAGGAGCTTCTGTGAAGATGAATACACACATTTATCCTAATTGTTCCATACAGATCCATGGAGATCGAAAATGAGATACTCGCGCTGCAGGGCTGAGAGCTGATACGTTCGGACCGAAATGAGTCCCGCATGCTTCGGATACTTACGCTCAGTCGGTTTGCGGTGCTGTACGACGCCATGCTGATCTGCGAGAGAGCCGAGAAAGAAGTAAATTGAAATCGGTTCGAATCGAGCGTCATGCTTCGAGGGCTTGTCTCGCCCGTGGGAGGAACATTCGGATGTGCGTGATAGTTTCGAATCTCATGAATTCGCTTGACTTTTTCTGCGTCTTATCACTTATCATTATACCTAGATTGCTCTACTACGGGATGTAGATGGAGGAAGGTCCCGAGAATTCGGTGGATGGTCCTGTTTACTGACCTCAGGCCCGCTCACCTTCTCAACCAGCACTCCCTATCCGAAAATTTTATAGATGGCTCAGCGGCTATCGTACGCGAGCAATCATTGCCTTAGAACAAAGCTTTTGGCTCGCGCCATACCGGATCGAAAACCAGCTCCGCTCCGCCGATTCTCTTCGAACTTCAGAAGTTCGGTCAGCCTCCCTCAGGGGGTTCGACCATGTGGGGACGCTGTGCAGAGGAAGATGGCGGACCATGAAGCGAGGGGGGTTTTCGAACGTGCTGCCATCCGCCGTCAATGAGTAGCGAGCTTTCTCAGCATATCAGTCGAGAGACGCTCACCGACCCCTAGCGAAGAACAGCGCCGACAAACCGACAACGTGTCGGGTGAGAGCAGAGAGACGATCGAGTATTCTGGGAATTTTTCGAGACTTACGGATTCGGAGAGTGCCTGAGATGAGTACCGTAGATTTGCCGCAGTGCACGTCCGCTGAAATCCGACGAATTTCGATTAATCGAGCGTCCGGGTCGTTAGAGAGCTTTCAAATTTCACGGATAGAAAGACAACACAGATCGAATGTCGGGAAGTGGAGATCCTACGGAACCGCGACTTAGCGCATCGCACATCGAATAAGTCCTGACGAGAGAGCTCTGGACAAGCGTCAGCTGATCATCAGAGCTCTAAAACGAAGCCACTGATTCCTTCTACATTTCTTTTTCCATACGACTTTCTAATTTGGTTTCTTTTCGAAAAAGCGTTCCCCGTGATTTCGATGTGTGCCATGAGACCAGATGCTTCTCGCCCACCGTCTGTCGATTCCACGAGTTTTCAAATTGGATGTGCAGCTCATGCGCTACATCTGCAAAACATCTTGCGTCTCATACTGGCGATCTAGACTGATTGGGACCATAAATTGAAACGTTCGAGCCGGAAGAGCGAGTTCCGTATGTCTCAATCGAAGGACAAATGTCCGGAAATATGAACAGTTTCCCGAGGAGGTGACATGCCTCGCTATGAGCCCGCGTGAGAATTCTGTGAGCTGCCTAAACGAAAGATGGGGTTTAGAAAATGCTCCTACACGGAATCGTCAGTGGACAAAACAACGCGGAATCCGGGGTCGAATTCAGGAACTCGAATCGTGGTGTCAACAGATGCCTCGTGAACCAATTATGAGGATATACAATCTGAAAATCGACACTGGAGTTGTCGTGTGTCGCATCATGCAAACGTACATGTAGACTTCTCCAGCTCGCGATTTCGATCGATTTCCTCCTAAGGGCTCAGTTTCGTGAGCTCTGGGCCGTGCTCGTCTCCGTCGAAAGCGACCAAAACCTAGAGACTGCCGAGGCAGAGGCTGGGGGGGGGAGCATGATAAACTTGATTGGAACTTTGACGAGTCGGTCGGGATTTGGGATAGGAGACTGCGGATAGAGCTCAAACCTTGGACGAAGTTTCATTCAGGACCGAGATCTCGCTCGATCCCAAAACCGTGGAAGAAGAGAGACATTCACAAGGATGGAGTTTGGTTGGGATAGAAGACTCCGGATATAGCTCAAACCTTGAACAAAGTTTTATTCAGGACCGAGATCTTGCTCAATCCCCAAAACGGGGCAGAGACATTTACAAGGATGAAGGTCGGGCGATCAACTGATTTCAGCGAGGGGGAATTTCCGATTACAATGTCAAGCTCCGGCTCTCATTCTCGTGGCGGGAGAATACCGAGGGACATTTGAATCTCAAGCTGCGCTCAAGTCTCCCCGGGACTCTAATTGTCATCTATAATATAGATTTTGATTCCTCGAGCCTCGAATAAGCTGGAGTTGTCTGTCTCAGCAAACAATCATTCAGACGGATGGCACTGTCAAGGGATTTCGGGAAAAGTCAGGAGTCCGACTTGGGCTCCTCTCCGAATTCATTTCGTAATCCTATTAGTAGCTCTCTAGTCTTCCATCGGAAGCTCTCGGTAATTTATCTACCCCGCATGCAGCACAGCCATGTTCCTGTCTGGGTGCCGAATTCAGCTCGATGGCCGAACGAAGATACTTGGGAAATCCCCTAAGAAAGCTATGTTTGTGCAGTGCCCGTCATCTGGACCACGATCAACATGTAGTTCTTGTCAGGTGCTATCATCAGCTCGTGCTTCTTTGTTCGTAATCTGAAACAGCAAGAATCTACTGTTAGCTTTCCAGTGACGCTAACTCGTCGCGAGGCAAATCCATCGACGCATCCTGCCTAACTACTCGATATCAGCCGTGATTCCTCGGAAATTCATCTTGTCCGGTAGCGATGAGTCGAGTTCCGCTCACAAGTCAGGATAAGGGTTTGTGGAGAAACCCACCTCAGAAAGGTCAGATCGTTGGCAGAGTCAAGTTCGCGAACTGCCGCCTTCGCCGCATCTGAGAGATTGGATACTACCGAGGCGTATTTCGTCGTCGTTGCCGTATCGAATGTGGAATGTATTGGGTTACCCTCATGCGTCGTCACGATAACACCTGCGGGGAGATACCGAGAAACTTGGGCGTCTGAGGAGCCTCGAGTGCTTTGAATATTGTATATTGAATATAGTATTGTATTCCTCAAGCATGGTTCGCAGAAAGCCGACAGAGAAGCAGCAGACGGAGAACCATATTCGAAAGCGCACGGTCGGGTCCCGAACTTTCAGAGTCGCCTTTATCAGTCAATTTAAAGCTCGCGGAAAGATCCAGAGACTCATAATCGGACTAGCTCAGTTGACTTCCGCTCTCGAACTCCTTCCCTAAACGTGATCAGCTCAGTCCGATGAGCCCTGCATCATTGGATCCTCCCCTGGGAGTTCCTTCCGTGTCGACGGGAACATCATGTTCGAGAAACTTACCGGCAACACCCTTCTGCGCCTGGATTCTCTTGACAGTCTCCTCGACTTCCGTGGCCATTGTATGATTGCCAAGTACGACAGGGTAAATTTTCCACGATACTTAGAGCCGAATCATGCCCCAGTCGAGGAAGAGGATTCCGATCGCCTGTACAGCTGTTGTGAAATGACGTCAGAGGGCCTGCAGTAGTGACAACAACAAAGCTCGCCCGTCTGCCTGCTCACAAAATCTACCTGCTTTCGAGAATAAATGCATCTGCACCTCGCATCCGGCTCGTATAGTCGCGCGAAGAGCGGCTTCCACGACCGCCTTCTATGTCGGACAAGTGTTTAAAGTTCGTGCAGGATCGCTACCAGGATTGAGAAACATGAAAATTCACCGGCGCCATAAATTCGGCATTTCGGCATGGGAGTGCGATGGGAGTGATCTTTGCTGCTATAATCAGCGCGATCGGGCTGTCTTCCTACTTCTTCCCGGAAACTGTTCCGGCGGTCACGAACAGAGACACCACTCCACGGCCGTCGAGTTGGACCTTGATTGCCCCGTTGAAGTGGAGTTACATCGTGACTGTACCGCAAAGCCTAGTTTCGATCTCTCGAATAGAAGTTTCGTGGCATAGGGCATGGCTCCTTCCCGTTGCAGCCGGTTCCGTCGATGAAATACCCCGGGTTGGATCGGAGCAAGGACTCGCTCATCCCGTCGGCAGCCGAATCCGGACGCGAGCAAGGGAAATTCCCCAGGGAGAAATGTCCAGGGACTACCTAGAGTTCATATAGTGCTCAGAATTGTCTGCGGCATTCCCTTCTACGAGCCCGGGCTACGAGAAACTTCTGAATGTTCGAAGGGAACTCGCTGCTGAGAAGTTTCCCACGAGGGAATCATAATACCCGAATAAGAACAATCGGAGTTCTTCTGTTTTCAAACTCGAGCTACCACTGTTCCTCGACGCTTTCCCTCACCAGGAAGTGTGACGATCAAAGGGCCGTCAAAAGTTGCGATTTCTTCTCGATGCTAACGCTCCCATCACTTGAAACTCTCCCAGCAGACTCATCAGCCCTACAGCGTCGAATAGCTAATGGTGGCATGCCCTCATTCGCGAGACCCCGTACCGGCCTGACGCCTTCACGGGATGTGGATAGCAGTATTACGTGAGTGGTAAGGACACCGAGAACGTTATCGGAGGCATGGCTCGTCTTGACGACCTCCCGGGTTGACATGATAACCACCCAAGGGAATACCTAGGCTGAGAAGAGTGAGCTGGAGCATCTGGAAAGAGAGCTTGGAGCTCGACAAAGTTCAGGGCACAAAAGATGCCGCGCGGAGAATGGAGAGTGTTGCGAAGCAGAGCCTCCATGCCTTGAAAGGCGTCAGTTCCGTCAGCGAGTGCCTTTCCCCCCCCCCTAGGAGGGATCTGACGAATTCGATTGGAGACGTGATTCCGCAGCCCGCCCCCCGCCTTGGGTCATGACGCCCCCGTTCCACGACTCGGGTTCTGAATGGTCATTCGCAAGCTTTGCTCTAAATGCGGAATCCCGAGAATCCATTTTCCATCCTATCCACTTTTTCCACCGCTTGACGATGAATGATCGCCCGATGGGCTTGAGCGCCCACTATGAGAAAAAAAAGGAAATGAGCAAAACAGAGCTCGTCAAGTGAGACCGCCCGCATCCCGCGATCAGCAAAGATCATCCTCATAGTGAGGGCTGTGTCCTCTCGGTAGATTCCATTTTTGGGGAGATTACCCGCCTTCTCCCTCTTCGCGCGGTCCATACACTCAGCGTATGTAATATTGTACGGTGCTTTGAACATATATACGTATATGAGCTTCCACAGCCGCGCCGTGTCAGCGTCCCGGGTCCCGGTGAATTATCTGTCCCTCGAAAAACGAGAGGAAAGAGGAAAAATGTTGCGCGTTGTTGACGTCAAGACGACCATCAGCTGCTGCCTTGGTCGTCGATATATGATCCGTGGTGGGCAGCGTGTCGTTTCAGAATAACTTTGAGAATTCTCCGAATTTTCGAGGTAGGGATTCAATGAGGCGAAACTTTTCACTCCCTAAATGAGCTGGGCTCTCAATCCGTGAACCGTTTTCTAGGCCACGCAATTAAACTCCGATTAGCCCGCGAATCGAAAGCGTGTTACCCACCTGTGACGCAAGCGCGATACCTTAGTCATCGACGCTGGCAGAGTCCGAGGATTCCTCTCTGTAGGATATTCGAAGAGGTAGGGAGAGTCCTCAAGGCAACAAGCCTCCACTTTTGAGAGCTTCCTCTGATTGGAAAATCATCGGAATGAGCAGTTGGAGACATGTACGAAATATATCACTGGGAAGAGAACTCGCGATGGGACTCCAAGATTTCTGAAAGTGTGCATGCGGACATTGCTCCCGCTTTTGAGCTGATGGGAGAGCTTCCTTCTACGTCGGAGAGTTTCTCGGAAATCTTCTCATCACAGCCATTGCGGATAAGTGCGCAGAAGATTTGCTGTGATATTTCCCCGCCTGCCCCAACTACATCAACATTATTCCCCATTTGGACTCCTCTTCAATGAAGGCCTTCAAGGAATGCAGCCCTCAGGAAGTTCGGAGATGATAGTATTATGTTCCCGTTTCAGTGCGTGCGATGACAGTGAAATACCTTTCGAAGTTTGATGCTGTTTTCCGAACATACCTCCTAAATCAGTACTTCGTCAAGGGTTGGGGAGACCCGGCCACGATACACAAGTGAGTATATCTCATATCAATATCTCTTGTTGGGGAACGTGTCCTCAAGGATGGTTCGACTCCCTCAGAATCCCGATCAACTGTCCTCGATTCCTATTCCTCAGGATCTGTCAATTCCGAAAGGTTGTGGGTAACCGCGAGAAATGTACACAGCTCGTCGACGACAATTACCCCATACATATCGCCAAAGAAGAGGACAAGGGCGCCTATCGGCTGCTGGAAGGCCACTTTACCAGCCCTCTTGTACACTATTTACCTGATGTGATACCGGAAGAGAGCCACAAAGCTTATTTCGAGGTGAATTAGGTGACGCAATCGACTACGGATCGATCCTCCCTACTACTGAAGCAGATGGATTCAATCTACGAGGTGTATCGATTCCCTCCAGATGCTTATACCGAACAACTGGAAACACCCGCGTTTGAAACCCGTGTGCCTCCAGTTGGCTGGAACCGGAGATCAAAAATTTTGGAGAAGGAGAACACTTGTTGCCAAACCTCTCCTGAAAGAATTCGGGATCGGCTCGATTCTTCTGGAGAATCCTTACTACGGCTTCCGGAAACCTAAGGAGCAGGTTGGAGAAAATTTTCTCATCTAGCGTGGCATAGAACAATTATTGATATCATCCGGTCAGAGAATCCTCGATTCGTCTCTCATTCTTTCTCGCTTTCCGTCTCTCCGAAGCTTCGTACTGTCCTGCATAATGTCTCGGATGTTTTTGTGATGGGCGGTTGCCTCGTTCTGGAGAGTATAGCCCTCCTGAAATGGTGTGAACGACAAGGCTATGGCCCCCTGGCCCTGACCGGTATCTCAATGGGTGGACACGTAAGTGATTAGATCAGCTCTCTAGGTCTCCGACGGAGGGGGATTCCTTCGGCTGAGCGCATTGATGTCCTCAAGATATTCATATAAGTATGAGATACGTTGGGGCCTGAGCTCATAGTTCCTTCCAGATGGCTTCTTTGGCCGGAGGAAGCTTCGATAAACCTGTGGGCATCGCTCCCTGTTTGTCGTGGACGACCGCCTCCTGTGCTTTCACCCAGGGCGTCATGAGTGGCGCCATTCCTTGGGAGCTCCTCCAGAATCAGTACATCGAGGAACCGATAATACGAGAAGAGCTCAGCAAAATGATCGAGACTCCGAGCTCGGGCAATGTCAGTCTGGCACGCCTTCCTTAACTCAGAGACAGATAGATTTCCGTTCAAGGATAACACTTAACATGGAAGGTGGATCTCTCCTGCAGGACAAGGTTTTCCTTGCTGGTCAGGCATTCGCCAGAAAAGTCACTTATGAAATGGAAACGATCAGAAAACAAGAAATTTCGGACGTCTCCCAACAGGTGAGTTGCTCTCCACTGCGCTGCTCCAATGATTCTCGGGATCATTCTGGAATGGAACAGCAGAATCATAAGGGAATCAGGATCGGATTGAGACGTTCGGATTATTTCAGCTGTGGGATGGATCCCTGAGAAGCACTCTCGCCAGATTGGTCGAGTCCTTGCCGATTGATTTCCTCGCAGATCAACCTCCTTCAAGGGAGAAAGCCAAGGACGCTCTTAACTTCATGAGAGGAATCATGGATGAGTGCACGTCGCTCGGAAACTTCGGGGTGAGAATAATAATTGGTGGCCCAATCATCAGACCTTCCTCAGCAACGCCCTTTCAAAGATTCATGTCTGTGCTATAAGCTCGAGGATATCTCTTCTCCAGACTCCTGTAGATCCATCGCTGGCGATCTGCGTGGCGGCGACGAGAGACGCTTACATTCCCCGAGACGGAACTCAAGACATTGAGGAGGTGTGGCCAGGTTGCGAAGTTCGATACGTGGAATGCGGTCACGTGACGGCCTTCGTCTTCAATCAACATTGCTTCAGGTAATCCTTCTGAAGTCATTCGCGTGGAAGAGCTCCGGCTAATTCTCCGAACAATATTCGACCAGGTCATGCCCCAGGCGGTCTTTCGTAATAAAGCCCTCGCTCTCCCGCAGGCAAGCCATCGCGGACTCGCTGGACAGAACCGCCTCGAAATACTATGGTGAAGCTCTCTTCCGGAAACTGAGCTCCTGATTTTTCAAAATACTCTAAACCTAATAATTCTTCGACGCTCAAGATTTTCTAAAACCGAAACTTGTAAATGTATCCGCCTTGTATGTGAATTATTCGCAGAAAGACTTCCGACTGTTCACGGCTGGACGATGGATCTAGAACAAATTGACCTGTTATCCACGATTCTTCGTAAATAACCATTGCGCTGTGAATGAATTCAATGCGAGAGAAATATATCTAGGTAGTCAGCTACGCACATTTCGTCTCGACTGGGTATTGTTATTTCTTTTTACGTCGAACCGAATAAAGCGTTTTTGTTTTTCCGACTTGCCTTGGCGTCCAAGGATCTCTCAGTCAAGTCTAGGCATTGTTGAACTTCTCGGAGAGCGATCTCCCAAGACCCCGGCGCGTCCAGTGTGGCATGAAGAGTTTTAGAAGACTCCTGACGAACTCCTCTCAGGAGTTCCGAATCATTCTCAACCCGAGGCGAAAAAAGTCGCCCTTCCAGTGCTCCGGGGAAGCGGGATACTTCGATGGTAAAACATCCCAGCAGCGTAGTTTTCTCTCTAATAGATCACAGCGAAAAGGTGGACGCGATTTACGCGTCGGCACTGATGGTTTTCCTGAATAATCCTCTCCGAGGAAAGCGGGTGCGAGGTCGCTCCGGAATCCTCGAGGATGTTCCGCCGAGACAGTACAGGATTTTTGGATCGGTCGATGAAACTCGCGAGAAAAGCTGTTCGCTTCGCCACGGCAGGGTTTCAGGAAGTCGCTAGTGGATATAAGCTATGCAGACCCCGGTCATGCATAAGATATAAGCCTAAAATGCCCAACACAAGCTTGCATCAACAGAACCGAGACTTTATTCTTGAATTTGACATACAAGCTTGAGCCTGGGGTGTATTTTGATGGTTGGAATATCTCCTTCAGGAACCTCTGACGTAGAGCTGTCAAGCTTCACTGGATCGGACGAGGTATACCTGGAAGTGGTTCCTTCGGAGGAGTCGTCTCCGATATCCTGCGTGGCCCCAGGAGTTGTCGTTATAGCATCAGAGTCCACTGTGATGTCTTCTGAGTTCGCGGCGGTCAGCTGCTTGCGGAGTTGAGCGGGGCTGACTGAATCATGGAGTCGAAAGCCGCTTAGAATAGAAAACTGGCAGGATGGGATACAGATGAAGAGAATGCGCTGGAGAAATTCGTATGATTCCTCTCCCTAGGGATTCAATAGTCAAAACGTCGCGTCTCAGATCCATGCGAAGGGAAGGAGTGCTTCTCCTTCCCTCGCCGCGCGAATTTCGGCGCAGGAATCTGGAGTACCTATGGCGGGTAAAAGCGAACTTACAAGTGCGAAGCATCACACCCTCGGCGAGCGCCAGCCCAATGAGGATGAGAACCACGGATGTCTTCATGTCAAATGCTCTTCACGTCAGTCGACGGTATCCGACACGAAGCGTTTGCTTTTCCCTGTCAGACTCACCGAAAGTGCTTCCTTTCGAGAGAGGGTCCTGACGAGTCACGTTCCCAAGTCATCAAATACAAGGGGAGAGTGCCTTCTCTCGTGCGATCCCCGACGGAACGGCAGAAAACGCTGAACAACGATGTTCCTTGTCAGCTGTCATTTTCCACCGCTCACCATTTTCCGTGGGAGATATCAGCCTGAAGTACAGAGAGAATAGAGAGAGGATACGCCCGCTCCTGTGATCGGAGCTTCTGGGTAGGAACGGCGCTGCCCGGAAAAGCTCGGGCTCTCACCCCCTTCCAATTCTCCAGACTTTTCGGGCCTCCTACCCCTATTCTACCCATGATCTCGATGCCAAAAATTTAGGAGCCATGGGGAACAATTCATCTCCTGGCTGCAGGAACAACTGAAAGTCTCAGGGAAGCGTTGGCTCTCAGCGAGTCGTTTGAGTACTCCTCGCGATGATAGGTCATCACAGAAATTTCATGGCACTTTCTCGATGCGAAATTCTCGGATATGAGCTACTGTTGCCGACGATGGAATGGGAAGACCTTTCCACAAGTGTCATTCATCGCTGATGGTTTTGTTCACTCGGCGATCTAATCGAAGACCGTGAGAAGAGTTGACGGCGCCATGGACGGGCTTGAGGAAATATTATCTCGCACGTTCTTGAGTACTGACTGTCGAACTCATTCCGAGGGAACATCAGGCTCGTAAAACTCGGTTTATTGCTCTTGTGGGAAACTTTTCAATTTTTTTGATTTGATAGAATATAACGTAAAGGATTGGCTTATTCCGCCGGTGATGGTGGTGGTTCTTCGAGTGAACACAGGTACTGCCTCGACTAGAATGTTAATTCTGATCTCAGAGATGTTGGTTCTGACTCCTCACAATTCGCTTAAAAATCGTCATGGCCGAACGAGATGCCTCCCGACTCTTGCTCAACAAAGAGAGCATGACGCAAGGATATCCATGTGCACAAAATCCTTGGCATCCCTGCGGAAGTCTCGCTCAGCTCTGGTATCGCGACCTCGGGGACCGATCCGAGTCCTGCGTTCTGTTATTCTTGTGCCGCTGCGGTCATATATTTTGGTGACGAGATCGAAAGCGTCCGACTCGCTCCACGGCAAGACAGTTTCTTCCAGAACATAGTTTACTGGAGACTGATGGGTCGCTTTGGCGTCCGCGGACCATATGATCACCTTGCTCCTCGGTTCGATTATAAAATGCGGCGGGAGTCGATGACAAGCCTGGAATTATATCTGTGCTGGCTACAGTCTTCCGTCGACAATGCCTGTCAAACATCGATCGGGAGAGATCCGGTCATCTGGAGATCCTCACCTTATCTTCCCCGCATTCTTGAACGAGGTACCATCTACTAATGTCCAGTCGTTGGTCACTTTTGTTCTGTAGAACCACATACTTCCCTCGCCGGACATCGTGCTGCGGAATGCTCAGAGTCTCAATCGCGGGAAGATTCTCGTGCTCGGAAGCTGAAGTAGTGGGAGAATGCGAGGGATCGACATCGTGGCCTCTGGGGTGCAGCCGGAAGGAAGTTTCGGTGGTGCAAGTAAAAACACCGGAAGTACATCCCAAGTCGTTCCCGTGAGACTCCTCTCCGTCTAGCAGGGATCTGAACGGAAGTTAGAACTCAGAGCGATTCCCCAGAATCGCACGGATTATGATGGGCTGCGGCCGGAATCCGTGAACACCTCACCTGTACACCTGAAGTTCCTGTTGAATGCCATCGCCAAGCACGATCAGGGACTGAAGAGCGCTCAGCGCGTTTTCAAGCTTCTGAGTCGTCCGCTCTAGTTCCTCATCCCGCCGCAACAATGAGTTCGATAGGTGGGCCGTTCTCTCCTGCAGTCGGTCGATCTTCCGTCTTGAATTGAATTTTTCGTGGGCCATCTCGTTGGTGAGAGCCTGCAGTTCTTCCTGGAGACGAGTGATATGCTCGACAGGAATTCGAGTTGCCGGCGCGTCGTACTCGATTAGATCGTTTTCTTCCCCTTCCGTTGGGGCAAATCCAGCCGCGCATATCTCCTCAATCTTGTTCTTCATCGAGCCTCCGGATCGAAGTGCTTCCACAGATTTCGCAATGAAATTATCGAGCCCATTGCGGAGCACGCGCTGGTGTTGATTGAGTCGTAATCTCAATAATTTGTTCTCGCTCCGTACTGATGAAGCATAGTGAGTTAAATGATTATTCTTATTTCTCTCTTCCCTCTCCAGTCTATTCGGAATCTCGACTCCTGGTGAATTTCCCTCTCAAAACAGCGCGAAGATATCGAATACATCCAGAGGCTCCACAGAGAGAGAGAGTTCGTTCCGAGGTGCTACGCCTGTATGTTGTTCAGAGAATTCACGCGACTCCGTCGAATCTATCGGACTCACGTGAGTTTATTGAATTCTGCTCGAGTGTATGATCGACCAGCCGTTCCGGACTCGCCAATCGTCCAAGCTCATCACTCAGTTCCGCGTTCTCACTCCTTGCTTGTCGGAGCTCTGAAGAGCTCTCGGCGTTCGCCAACTTCAAGTCCTCATTTTCCCTTTTGAGCTCATCCACTTCTCGCTCAAGGAGATCTATGCGGAGACTGGAAGAGAAATGTCATAACATCTTATTAAAGCAAAGCGACCGGAGGAGAAACCGGGGAAGCGAGCGCCAACCTCTCCAGATATCAGGGAGCTCACCGTGCTTCGCATAGTCGCGTCGAGTCTCGTGGACACCCAGCACTCGGTTCGAGATCTTCTGAACTTATCCGACGGGCCGTCCCCAGGCATGATCTCTCTGACGTCGAATGGTCGCTGACGATGGCTGAGTCATGATTCTCGTCTAGCGTTCGACATCGCTCTCGGTTTGCGCCTCGCACGTCCTCCATAAACGTTAAGTGTCGAGCAAGTCTGGAAGATTACGCGTCACGGAGCCACTGATCGTAGGTAATTTTAGTCAAACTGACTGAAGAGCCCGTGATTCCTCACCGATCATTGAGAGACTTCATGAGGTCAAGCCGCTGCGCGGCCACTTCCAGGTATGCACTCCAATCGTTCGTTGGATCATTTAGTCCGAATTGCTCGGCAGCAGCCGACTCGTTGCAAGCGGAATGCACGGAGGCGTCTTCCATCCTGAGATGTCTCAACTTTCGAACGCGCGGCGAGCTACGCGCTGACACAAGCCTAATAGCCTCATCGAAGGCTTATGAACACTTCCGGACGTTTCCGTACATGAGCGCGACGTGCGTGTCACTTGAAGCGAAGCGATCCGGAGGTTTTCGATATCGGGTTCCAGCCAAGATAGGGGGCTAGGCTTCTTGGGCGTCGACGAATGATGTGGAAGCTCTGATCTCCCATCGAGTGGGGTCTCGTATGGTTATCATTTATCATATAAGTCGCCCGAGCGGACAGGCAAGGCTTTCGACATCCTTACCTCCCACGAGAATCCCAGCAACGTGGACTCCGCTTTTCAGGAACACATGGGAACCAGTCTGTTTTCATGCCAACGAACGGAGGATCCAATGATCCGTCGCCAATTTTAATGGAGTTTGATTGATCGAGATTCTTTGGAAGCCAGCCGATCAGGGTGAGGATCCTATCAACTGATGTCTCTGTAAAGCGAAGTCCACTTCACAAGATGTTCTGACCTTCCTTTCCGCATGAGGAGGTTTTCTGAAAAATTGAGGTGGCGGGAACACTGCTCTGGAAGCGGATGGATATCTGCGCGGAAGCATCGAATCGACAATGGAGCTCTTCGCGTGACCTTCGCCCCCTCCATAAGGGCTCGCGAAAGAGCTAGCGCTCGGGAAATATCATCGTCGAACATAGAACCAAGCGAACAGACTCGAGCGCGTTGTGTCGGAGCGGCGACACTACCCCATCCAGCCCCTCGTATTCGCCGGGCTCATGTGGCACGAGGTTGCGTACCACACTGTCGAGCTGCTCATGTGTCTGTGTCTAGGGAGATTCTCTTAGGTGCGTAGCACCCTCCTGCTGCTCACATGGAAAGACTTTTCACATGCACCCTATTCCAAGGTCTCCTGTGAAGTGTCTCTTAGGCTCGAAGTTTGTTGTCCCGAGAATGACCAATGACAACTCACTACACGCGACTCCTCTTCGTCAATATTTGTCGGGTCACATGTGTCCCATCAGCCGCATACCCCCGATCACTCATAACTTCAAGCTTCTCGTCATAAGCTTAAACCTCTCCAGGGGATTGAGTTTGTAATCTAAATCTACTCATCACGCCAGGAATGTCCGATCCGAGTTGTCGAGGACAGCCCTCTACAAAATCGTGTACGAGCTGCGAATTATCATGCTTGATTTCGAGGACACATCAAGGAGAGCAAGCAATATGAAAATATGATATTTCCAGAATGAAACCACACGGCCTAGCCCGGGCCGAGTTATGAGAAGTCATGACCTCAATTTGAGGCCTTCCTCAGCAACAGAATCGATCGGCTTTCACTCTCGTCGAATTCGTCGCCGGCTTCCTCTTGTGGTGAGCGCTTGTCTCGAGTGTTATCGACCATTCCCGTACGCATTGTTCGGTGCCAATATGGCGATTAATCGAGGGAGTTTTGTTACTGTTTTATAGCCCACTGCACTCTCGCCCGCTCAGCATCGAGGCTAACCTAGCCATCGGCAGCGGTCCCGGCCGCACACACGAAAACATGCGCACATTCGTATAGGATGAGTACGAGAGGTTTTAGCATTGGCAGGTCGGCAGGCTGGCGGACAGGCACCGCCTCGCCGTTTGGCTCCACCTTCGTGAAGCTCTGATAAGATCGCGATCTCAATCTCGAAGTCCAATCCATTGAAGGCCCATCTGTCGGTAGTCTATGCGTTGCGCGTCGGCTTCGAACTTGGAACGGAGGGAAGCGAGCCTGTGATAAGTAATTGGCGAAAAATTGCGCTACCTCCATTGAACTCCATGCCTAACAACTCTTGTCGTATCGACAGAGTCCAGGAAGAGGCCCTCGAGGGTCGCGACTCGTCGTTTTTTGAAGCTCGCACCCTCCGAACGACAGCGAATGGGTCAACGCACACGAAGGGAATGCACAGTTCCCGCACTGATGCGCGGAATTCAAACGTCTCTTGATTAACGCGCCCTCGATTTCCCCCACATTCGAATTGATTGAACCGAAAACTTTCCGCCCACTCTCAGAAGGGGGCGACCCATATTGCAGGAGGAATCGGCGCTGCTGTAGTCGATATTTTCCCGGCCACTGAAGGTCCGAGGGCCAGCGGGTGATAAGCTAGAGAGGCGTTGAAGAAAGGTGCGAAAAAATCGGCGGAACTGACTCCCGCTCGGACATCTATCAGTTACGGAGCTGAGAGGAGGCTCCGCGCATAGGATTCGTATGGATATTGCACTTGAACTCGATTCCTCAAGAGCAAGTCGCAATCAGGAGCAGGAACAATCGTTAGGGCGTGTCACTACAATGGAGAAGAGTTCTCATAAGGCCGGAACGCTGCTGCCGACTCATCCGTCCTCAACGATTGAGAGCGCGCTCGATAGGGGCACACAGCTCGTTCCCTTCGATCGGTGTCTGTTTCCACGAGCGCAGCGTCGAGGATTTCAAGATGTTGACAACGCGACTGGATCCGAAATGGTTCCGAGGCTAGAAACCTGCGCCACAACTCCATTCGAACGCGAGATGTGAAGTATCCGACGATTTGGGAAAATCAGGACCGAGTGGGAGGCAGAAAATCATGAAGGACGCCGTCTCAACGATAAATCTGTCGATATCTCTCTGGCATATTCCTCTGGCGAGTGGACAGGCGATCTGAATACCTACTACATGTGGTAGACGCTGTTTATCCGGGATTTGTCCGCGGTGGGGGATGTGAGTGCATCACTTGATCCAGTTCCAGATTCCGATCAGAAGCTTTTGTCGTCGGCTGATGAGATTTGGTCAATTTTGATTCTCCCATTCATTTGTTCGCTGTCTGATAAATCTGTCCGGAAGAATGTCTGAACCTAAATCCGAATATCTCGGCGAGATCTCTACCGACTGACTATTTCTGTATGGCTACCCGCCGACACGGGGGTTTGCTCGCTCAGAGCCCAGAACATGGGTTCGAACACATACTTTTAATCCTTATCTGACTGTTGAGGGGAATCGAGAGGAGAACGGCGCAAAAACCTTGCATACACGACCGATGTCAGATAAGACGCTTGGGGGAGTCCCCCGTGGTGGGATCGAGTGTGTGTTCACATCTATTCAGCCGGCGCTCTTATTCGTCAAATGACATTCTACTGGGTACCTACCTTTTCGAAGCCGGTCCGATACCGCCATAGGGGTTGCCAAGCGAGGGGACGGGAAGAGTTCCCGCGAGAGTGGAGGTGAGGTGCTTGCTCGCGGAGTTCTCGAGTGACCGGAAGGAAACTGTGGGATTCGGGAGAAACGAAACAGAGCTGGACCCTCTCGACTCCTCCGCAAAAGGAGACCGTGCGTAAGTTCCCAGGAGCGACACCCTCGTTCAGCCCCAGCCTGGGTCCCATGTCGGCCATAGCTGTCCCCGGCAGCGGAGCCGCCTCCGACACGTATCCATGAGTCAAGCTCGGAAAGTGTTCCGGAAGGGGAATTCAAGTTCTATCAGTCAATTTTGCTCCTCTGCCATGGACTGGAAGCGGGCTTGTCAGGGACCGGCCGAGGATGAAAAACGGGGTGAGAGAGAAGGAACAACCCATCCAGGCCAACAGTAGTGTCCTCCCGATGGCGTCGCACCTCTTATCAGATGTGCTTCATCGCCAACAGCCAGCCAGTCAGTCAGTCAAGCCGGGGACAAGAGCGGCGGCTGCAGAAGAAGAACAACGAAGGGACATATGTCGATGTTGAGAAATGGCTGGCAACGACAACAACGACGACGATGACTACAAAGGGAAAGATTGAGAACGAGAGAATGAGGAGCGAGAAACTTATCAGTGAACTGATCAGTGAGCAACGAACGGGCGAGCGAGCGAGCAAGCGAGCATGCGAAAGGGACTAAAGTGAGCATCCAGTCAGGGAATCTGTGGGATTTTGGCGATCACATGCGAATATGTGCGCATCTCACCGCCGATACGAGGAGTACTCGGGGGAGTACTGAGCCAAAACTCGGATCCGAGGGCCGGAACTCCCTCACCGCCGTCATGATCTCGTATCACGATAGTGCAGTGCCCTATCGACTCCGGAATACGGACGTCATGGCCAGTGATGCCATGGAGGTGAATCCTCCACATTATGTTTCGAATTTCGAATTGAGATAGGACTATTATACCAGAGGAAGGACACTTAACGAGATCTACATTATGAGCATGATTTCGGAGAGAGAAATCACGGGATTCAGGGGTGACCGCTGATGGGACACTATGTAATAACTTCTTCCGATGAATGGTGCCTGTTAGCCTCAATGTCCGTAACTGTTTCCTTCTCCCTGGGATTATTCTCCGGATCTCATTCCCAGGCAGTCTCTTCCCTTGGTTTTCCATTTTTTATGCGGATTTCTGTGTTTAGGAGTATGGAAAACTTGATGTATCATCTTCTCGATGCTCGCAGAGTATGACCCTAATAATATCCAAGAGACGACCTATGGTAATACACGGGATTCGGCAAACTTCACATGACCGAACGCTGAACGAAGTGTTCAATTCCTGGGAAATACCCGTTCGGAGCTCGGAATGCAGCTCCGAGCGCAAACCCACGTCTCTGGGAGTCATGTGGCTTTCCATCCGCAGCGCACCCAACGACATACATTAGTCTGTGACGCTTCTGATTCGATTTTATTCTATCGAATGATCGTCTTGAATACTCGTACATTTAGAGAATAATGGAGCATAAATCGTGGGGTGATATCCGCGCTCGCGAGAACTCCTGATGCGAGCAGTTTCCGCGAGCTCATG